AGAGGTGTGACTGATGCTGATTTAAATACATTGGTGTTAGAGAGACTGAGAGCAGTTACTGAGATTGTGCTGTACAGAAGCCAGGGGCTGTAGAACTGAAGGGCTGCATGGGACTCTTGATAATTCATTTCTTTCCTCTTGAAGAAACTTACTACAAAATTCCCTTCATAAACTGGTCAAGCTTAACAGCATTAGGAGTGATTTTTCATTGTTTCTTAAATAATCCTGCTCTCATAACTCATGGTGTAAAATTGAACTCTGATTTCTATAGTTCCTCATCTGGGTTAAACTGCAAAGGCTACATAGGGCAAAAGCACATTCTGTGATTCTTCCTAGATTGTGTTTTTTTGTTTTGAACTGTGCTGATCCTTGCTGGGATGGTCATGTTAAGTCTCCCAAGAAAACAGCAGGTAAAACTTAGTGCTGTCATCCAAACCACCACAAGATATAGCCCAGGATAATAATATTTATTTGAGTTTATGTAACAGACTGGCCTGCAGCAGTTAAGGATTCTGACTAAAACACTTGACCTTTGTAGCCCCCTTCTCTGGCTTTTCGGCTGCTCTGCCCCAGCAGGCAGGGTGGGCAGTTGCTGCTGCAGTTCTTTAAATCTTCTCCATCAAAGATGGAAGTCGGGTGAGATTTTGTTTGTCACATTGGTCTTGCTCAGAAGCATTGCTTTGCTCTTGGGCAGGGCTGCCACTTGAAATGCATCTGAGCAGCACTGACTGTATAGGGTTCAGGGAGATTTGCTGTGAAACTCTGAGGTCGCTTGGAGTTGGCTCACCTATGTACTGAGTGATGAGATAGTTCAAGAAATCAAAAGGAATTACAAACCAAATTTATTTATTTTCATAGATTCCAAGAGGCATTGAAGAGCTTTTTAATGATGATTGCTGCCTAAAACTCACGGAGCAGGTATGAATAGTTAAGGTTAAGACTTAACTGTAGAAAAAGCATTGTAAATAACATCTATGTACATGACTGTCTCTTGTGCACTTGTAGTCATCTTCCTTCTGGATTTTGGTTCGAGCTTTAAAAGAATTTGTGGCAAATGAAGGGCAAGGAAGCTTGCCTGTCCGAGGCACCATTCCTGATATGATGGCAGACTCCAATAAATTCATCAAATTGCAAAATGTGTAAGTAGACAACTCCTTGAGGGAGCTCGCTACCATTCATGTGGCTTGTATTTTGTCTTTATAATGTGAAACAAAAAAAAAGATTGCCCTCAATGTGGAGTGGATGGCTTTCTGCTGTAATTTGCTTCTTCATTATTACCAGATACCGTGAGAAAGCAAAGAAGGATACTGCTGCTGTGGGGAGCCATGCTGCTAAATTGTTACAGTCCCTGGGCAAGGTGAGTGCAAACCTATGGCCATTCTTTTAATGGAGTTAAGTATCTGTGAGGTATCTGCTTTATTTATGAATTTGGTGTGATCATATAAAAGTAAAATACATATAGGGATATACTCTTTACAATTTTAAGACAGGTTTGTTTGGTTTTTTTTTAGTACATTAGTAACTAGTTATTTCACAATAAATATATTACTGTATATGTGAAAGCAGGAATTCTCTGGCCATTGTGTGTACTGGAATGAGTATATTCTCTTTTAGGCACCTGAGTCTGTTTCAGAGAGAGAATTGAAATTGTTCTGTGAGTATGCTTGGATTCTCTTCTGGGTTTATGCAAATGATCATATAATCAAAAACTTTGGAATTATCATGTACTTATTAAGCAGTAAGTCAGCATTTGAATTTTTTTACGTACTAAGTGGTTTGCATCCCTCATTTTCGGGAGAAGTAGCAGATTTTCAGCATCTCTTGGGAGTCAGTCTGTAAAGGTTGGCTTTAAAATTATGTATCTTTTCACTCCAAACAACGGGGAGCAGCTGTCTCTGCTTTCTGTGACGAGTACCTGAGCACTCTTGCCCATGCTGGGGTACTGGTTTCAGAGTGTGAAGTCTACAGACTTGAAGTAGTCTGAAAAGCTGTGACCCAGTTGATGGCACTTCAGGTTGTGTCTGTCCTGGATGTGTACATGCCTCCAGCAGCAGCCTGGCTGAGGCTCCTCCAGAGCTGGGAAGCTCCCCTGTAAGCACAGAGCCAAGAGCGTGCTGCCCTGCATTGGTAAAGCATTTGGGAACCTCCCAGTTGCTCCTTTTTCAGTGCTAGGTTGTAATTGCACCCTGGGTTGGTTCATAGCAATGGTACTGGAAATGGACCTTTTCCAGCTCATGGCTCTGCTGGCGAAATATTAATTAAGAACATGTGAGGCAGTGTTAGATGTAGGGAAGATGGAAAGAACCATGTTGATTTGCAGCCTGGAAGAGGGAAACCTGGTGGCTGTGACCGGTGAATTGCTGTGGTGTAGCTGTTACATTAACTTGGCAGATAGATGGAGATTCCACAGGAGCATGAAGTATTTCCCTAAAACTCTCCTGACCATAGACCTAAAGGTAGTTACACAGGTTTTTATTACTGCAAGGGGAGAAGAAACAGGGAAGTGTTCAATGAAATGCTGTTAAGTTGTAGCTTTCCCGTGTCACGGGCAGTGAGACAGAGCTGTAGTGAGGTGGCACTGATGGGGCAATCTCTCCTTGTCCCCCTGCCCAGGCAGCAACGCCGCCTTCCTGCACGTGGTGCGCTGCCGCTCGCTGGCGGAGGAGCACAGCCCCAACTCCTGCAGCAGGGATGCAATCAGTAAGTACTGCTGCTTGCCACAAACTTCACTGCATTTCCAACTTGGAATGGTTTGGTGAGGAAAAGGAAATGTAAGCTGCATGTTCTGTTGCATTATGCAGTTTTATTATTTGGAATATCACAAAGTCTTTGGTGAATTAAATTAAATTCCTAGTGTAAGGAATATGTCAGGTGTGAAGATTGAGGTCTAAAATGTTGAATTCCATTTCATTTTGAAATTTCAAAAATGACCTTACAGATTGATGCACGTTTCAGCTTTTGTTTTCTTGTGGATTTTATATTTAGTACTCTATAAATAAAACACTGTTTTTTTTCAAACTTCTCTTTTCTGTAGCTCAGTTATTTCTGACAGAGCTGAAAAGGTGCTTTAACCTGACCAAATTAAAATAATTATCTGGACCCCTTTCAGCCTATCTCTTTAGGATGTGAACTAACAAACTAGTTACTTAATATTGCTTCAGCTTTTTATTTTGCCCTGTTTTGTTGGGTTTTTTTTTTGAGCTGGATATAAGTTGCAGTTAGTATTACAAACACTACTGTACTGTGGCATAAGGGATTTAAGACCTGTTTTATAATTACAGATAATACTTACAGCATGTGTTTCAAATCCTAAAATTATAACTAATTTAATTTAAATTAAAGCAGTTGCCAGAATTGAAATGTGAGTTTCCTCACTGAATAGTTTATATTAAATACATGAAATATGGTTTTGTCATAAACTTTGGAGGCAAAATTGTGTATCTGACAGCTGTTTGATTAAGATTCTGTCACAGGTTGTATTCATTAAGGTTTCTTTCTACACCAGATTTTACCATTTGTTTTCAGGGAATTCAAAACCTTGCTTTTTCCATCCCATCTGCACCAGCTAACCAGTTCTCTTGCTGTTTTCAGTTTCCCATATGGATAACCCAGACAGTGAAATAGTGCTGTACTTGATGCTGAGGGCTGTCAATAGGTTTTACAAGCAGCATGGCAGATACCCAGGTATGTTAATACCAGTTACTTCACATCATCAAAAGAAATATAAAGGTCCAATATTTACCATAGCTCAAGTTATAAACTGCAAAAACATTAGTTCTGGTTTTATTTCCATAGTAATACAGCTTTAGGAATGTGAAAATTGGAGTTTTGTTCTCTTCGGGAACTTAAGGAATTTATCTGAATTGGTATCATTAATAGGTTGTATGTACTATGAATCAGTTCAGCTATGCAGTTTTGTCTATCATGAGAAGTATCAACAGAATAGTCAATTATTATTAGCCTAGTACTAATAACACAGTAATTGGCTTAGAAACTTTAGGAAAACAAAATATTTAGGCTGCCATTTAAACCTATTAGCTTTGACTGTGATGTTACAGTTGTTTGATGAAACACTTGATTTATTTTTCAGGTGTCTACAACTACCAGGTGGAAGATGATATTGGAAAGCTAAAATCATGCCTTACTGGTTTCCTTCAAGAACACGGGTTGTCTGTAGCGGTGAAAGATGACTATGTGCACGAGTTGTAAGTGTTGTTGTTGAGGTGTGGCTTTTTGGTAAAACTGCCAGGCACTTTGTGACTGTTCCTCTCCTGTGCAGTTGTCGCTACGGAGCTGCGGAACCTCACGCTGTTGCTGCCTTCATGGGAGGTAAGAGTGACACTCCCAGGGCCACACAAACAGCAGCAGCCTGCTGAGCCACAGCTCTGCTGCCTTAATTACTCCGGACTCTCAGAGCAAAGGCTGCAACCACAGCCTGCAGTCACAGCCTGTGGGTTGTAGGGCAGTAGGGCACAATCCTCTTCTTAAGGTACATATAGAGTGAGTGCAGCAAGGGTTATAGTCAGTAAATAAATAAACTTCAAAAACAATTGCAATACATCAACTCTTCAAGCTTAAAAGTGTGTTAAATGAAATGGTGGAAAGAGGCTTAATTTTTTTTAAAGGAAAGTGATAATTATAGTAATTTAAAAATTAGTGCAGTACATATCTTCTTTTAACATAGTACACTTATATTAAAGATCTATGAAATATAAGTAGACTTGGATTCTACCTTCATTCAACCTGCTAGTATATTTTAATGGATGACCAAAATTGATATATCAATTCACTTACATTTTTTATTTGGCTGCATGCAGTGCTGAAGATAATTATGTATTATATATTCTGCATATTTAAGATTTCTTTTCTGATAAAGCAAAATTTGATATACATAAAGGTAGTTTCTGAAGAAGTTACAAAATGTTTCTTGCTACAGGAAAACTCTGAAGGATCACACTGAAGTGACCCATCCTTCAGTTTATTTTGCAGTTAAGTTTTACTTTTTTTTTTTTTTTTTTTTTTAATTCAGCGTCTCAGATGAGAGAGGTCGCAACTTGCATGGGTCTGTGTGCTCGCCCATTTTTACTCTCTGTGTCTGTACATGGAGAGAAAGTGTATGCAAAACTAACTTTTGAAGTAGCAGCTTCCTGATCTTCTTTTATAGTGGGAAGTACTGAAGGGCATTTTTGCCTCCTACGAGATTTATCAGGCACTTCTGAAATAATTCCAATCTAGGGACTTCTAGATAAGTAGCATATTTTACTGTTGTTTAAATATGACCTGCTAACCTGCTAACTGCCGTCTGTTTTTTCTTCTCTTTTGCAGGAGCTGCTGCACAGGAAGTTATCAAAGTCATTACAGGGCAGTTCGTAATTTTTAATAACACCTTTATTTACAGTGGAATGTCACAGACTTCAGCAACTTTCCAGCTGTAGGATAAGCTCTTGAATTCGATGCCTCCAGGTGCTGCTGCTGCTAAATTTACAGTTTTTACAGTATTTACAGTTCTGTAAATACTTTGGTGTTCTGCCACTGACTGGACTGTTCTGTTCTGTATTACTTGCCAATTAAAGTTCCTTTATTTATAATTATCTTCTTTTTGTCATTGTTGTTTCCTGAGGACAAATAAAATCATACTATATCATGACAATTTTTTAAAATCTAGAATTTTTGGCTCACGTCTGAAAGAAAAAGGCAGTAGCTGTTTTTGGCAGGCTAAGTTGCATTTACAAATTGGATCACCTTGTCAGCAGTAGAACTGCATTTTTTCTTATAAAAGCTGCTCATCAGCTTGAGTGAGGAGAAGACGCAAAGGATGAGAGAGGCTGGTGGAGCTCTGATGGTCTGAGGATCCAATGGTGCAAAGAGCTGGAAGGTGAAATACCTTTCAATGAGTTCAGGGTCATTAGGGAAAGGGAGTGTCTGCCTGAAAGCTCAGTTCTGTCAGCCATATTCACCTAGTAAAAGGTTTTTTTCCTGCACCTGTGTGTGTGGCCAATGCCAAGGGATGGCAGCTCTTTCTGTTGTGGGGGCATTGCAGCCTCCAACTGCAGAGTATGCAAATTGAGCTGCATTGAAATGTGTTTTCCAGATTTGGGGCTGATCCTGGTTAACATCTTTATTGATGATCTGGGGGTGGGGATTGAGAGGACCCTCAGTAAATCTGCAGATGCCCAGTTGGGTGGGAGTGTGGATCTGCTACAGGACACGAAGGCTTCTGCAGTGAGACTTGGACAGACTCAATCAATGGGTCAAGGACAAGGGTGTGAGGTTCCACAAGGCCAAGTGGCACATCCTGCAGGTCACCAGCCACCTCAGTGTGAGCCAAAGCATGCCCAAGGGGGCAAGAGGCCAATGGCACCCGGCCTGTACCAGCAGCAGGGTGGGCAGCAGGACCAGGGCAGTGCCTGCCCCTCTGCGCTGGGCACTGCTGAGGCCACACCTCGAGTGCTGTGCCCAGCTCTGGGCCCTGGGGAAAAAGGACATTGAGGGGCTGAGCGTGTCCAGAGAAGGGCAGCAGGGCTCACAAAGGGTCTAGAAAACATGTCCCATGAGGAGTAGCTGAGGGAGCTGGGTTTGTTCAGTCTGGAGAAGAGCGAGGGACCTCACCGCTCCCTCCCACTCCCTGACAGGAGCGTGCAGTGAGGTGAGGCCACTCTCTTCTGCTGGGCCTGCAGTGAGAACCAGAGGAAGTGGCCTCACATTGAGAGGAAATTCAGGTTTGATTTTAGAAAAACAATTTTTCACTGTTCAGGCGTTCAGGCCTGGGAATAGGATGCCCAGGGAAGTGGTGGAGTTGCCATCCCTGGAGGTGTTAAACAGACCTCTGGGTCTGACACCGGGAAATGGTTTTGGGTTTGCAGTGGCAGTGCTGGGCTGACGTTGAACTGGATGATCTTAAAGATTTCTTTCACCCCTGACGGTTCTGCAATTCCAAGCGCTTCCCGCCTGGCTGAGGGAATGCTCAGAGCTGTCCCAGTCCGAGGCTGCCGCGCCCGGAGGCGCTCGGGCGGCGCTGCGGCTGCGGCGTCTCCTGAGGGGCCGGGCCGGAGGCTGCCCTCAGATCCGCGGGATCCCACCCCTCAGCCCGGCGGGGTGATCCTCAGTCCGGTGATCCCTCCCTTCAGCTCAGTGGGGCCACCGTTGTCCCTCAGCCCGGCCATCCCATCCTTCAACCCGGCAATCCCACCCCTCAGCCCGGCCATCCCATCCCTCAGCCCGCAGATCCCATCACTCAGCCCGGCCATCCCATCCCTCAGCCCGCAGATCCCATCCGTCAGCCCGGCTATCTCATCTCTCAGCCCGGCCATCCCACCCCTCAGCCCGCAGATCCCATCCCTCAGCCCGCAGGTCCCACCCCTCAGCCCGCAGATCCCACCCCTCAGCCCGGCCATCCCATCCCTCATCCCGCAGATCCCATCCCTCCCAGCCCGCAGATCCCACCCCTCAGCCCGCAGATCCCACCCCTCAGCCCGCAGATCCCACCCCTCAGCCCGCAGATCCCATCCCTCAGCCCAGATCCCATCCCTCAGCCCAGATCCCATCCCTCATCCCGCAGATCCCATCCCTCAGCCCGCAGGTCCCACCCCTCAGCCGGGCAGCGCTCGGCACTGAGCGCCCGCCTCGCCTTGGGGTGTGCCCGGAGCCGCCCGCGCCGCCGGATCGCAGGTACCTGAGCTGTGCCCCATTTCCCCCCTCAGGACTCCCCAGCCCTCCCACAGAAGAATGCAGCTGCTGTTTCATCTTTAGACTGTTGCCTCCCCCCCCGCCGCCCCTTTTTATTTTAAATCTTTTATATGTTCTTTCCCTTTTATATTTGGGCTGATCTGGAGTGGTTGCTAAGACTTCAGAGTGGAGCTCTGATAATGAGCTGTAAATCACACACGGCTCATCTGAGGGAGGAGGGTGCGAGGGAGATGAAATAGGCCAGGACACTCCCAAGTCCTGTTGCACAGCGCAGCGTCCTCACGGCCTCAGCTGCTGCTGTGGGGTTTGGTTTCCACAGGACGCCAACAACCCGCACTTCTCCCCTCTGGGATTTGGTCCCTGGGTTTCCAAGGATAAGTCCCGCCGAGGCTGACTGGTCTACTGACCGTGCCAGCCATGTGCTCTAGGGCTGCTGAGCACACAGACTGACAGATCTGCACTTCTCCAGGAGTGGTTTCTGAGGTTTGAAGCAATGTTACTGGGTTGTTTTCCATAACTGATGGAGAATTACATGCAACATTCGTGCGATGTTTGTTGAAGCAAATTTATTTTCCTGTCTTTCCACCTTGCCCTGTGATGCAGCAACAGAGGGTGAGCTGTTTGCATCTAATCAATGTAGGCTGGCCTATAAATACTATTTTGTGTACCTTTGTAGGTTGCAAAAGCAAAAAAGATCCAGGTGAGGCCAGGATGTGTCCTTGTATACATACAGTTTTAAACCCTTTGTGCTTCCTAAATTGTATAAACATGTATTAAATTAAACTCTTCTGAAATGCAATTAGCTCCCGAGTGAACTCATTTTTACAGCCTTCCTTTTGTTTGGGTGGTTTTCGTTTTTTCTTAGGCTGGTGGAGTGGTGGCAGTAGGACAAAAAGAGGTGAGGAAGGCTCACAAGCTTTTCCTTGTTGTGGCAGGGTTGGATTTGCAGGAAAATGAAATGCATGTCTGTTCTCACTTCTGAAAGGCTGCAGGGAGATGAACTCTCTCAATTCTATGGGGGCGATCAGTAACTCTGAAGAGAAAGCACGGCTGGCCGTCTTCGTTAAGATGACAACGATTCTGCTTTGAGCCTTTGCTCCACTTTGAGAAGGAAAACGAATCCATTATTAAGCTGGATTCAGTACTGATTTAAAGTTTCTACCTGAACTAAGTAATTTTTTTAGGGTTTTTTTTCCATTTAGCATATCTGCATTCTGAAAGAGAATGCCAAAGAGAAATACAGGATGTGATAATGTCCCTCTTCTGGAGCACTAATCCCTGGGTGCTGATTAGGTGATAAACCATTACACCAGGAAATTGCTTCTGCTCCCTGTGTGTCCCTAAGAAGAAGGAGAAGCTGTATGTTACTCCCAGGACCTGCAGCTGGCTGGTTGCCGCTGGTGCTATGCGCTGAACACGAACTGCTGAGACCTTGGGTTTTCCCGTGGAGAAGGAGCAGCTGAGGGCGAGGGTCTGGCCGGTCACGTTCCGGGCCCCGGAGCGGATTCCTCCCGCTTCCGCCCAGGGACGAGGGGGCACCGAGGCCGGAGCGAGCGGGGACCGAGGCCTGCCCGGCGCCCCCGGCCCGGCCCGGCCCCACCGGCGGTTCCGCGGTTGCCGGGCAACGCGAGCGGGCCCGCGGCGTCTGTGAGGCGCTGCGGCCTCAGTGCCCGCGGAGCGCGTTCCTGCGCTGGCTGTGCGCAGCCTGGCTCCTGTAGGCGGCTACGCTCGGCGATTCGCCGAGTTCATAGTCCTGAACTCGCAGACCGCTGGTGTCTGCGAGGGTGTCCTGAATTTCGTTTGAAGGTAAAGATTGACTAAAGTTGTACTTTTGGTTTTGACACATCTGTGCTCTGAAGGAGAAATTCCAGAGGGAAATACAGGGTGTGATAATACCAGTCTTCTGGTGCAGCAGTTCAGTGGCAGGCATGTACAGCTGAGTGGATGAATATGGTCCACCGATTGCACTTTTTTTTTTTTTCAAAATTTGCTTTTGAAGAAAGGCAAAATTTCCTAAATATACTAGTCTATACATTTTTTTCCTATAGCGATTACTTAAACTGCTTAAAGTTGAATGAGTTCTGTTCAAGTTTCAGTAGGTTGTTATGATCTGCTTATTAAAATTATTAGGGAGATGCCCCTGAATTAAGGTGCAAACGAGACCATATGCCAAATTCAATAGTCTGGATTTTATGTAACAGTAAATGTGAGGAAGGGAGAGAGAGAAATGGAGAAGGGTGTTGGAGAGGGGGAGAGAAAGAGAGTGATAGATTAAGTAGAAGGTGTCTCCATTGCATGCATCCCTCTGGAAAACAATGAAATCCTCTTCTGGTCTTCTCTGTGGTGAGGTCTCGCAAAACATAAGACTCCAGTGGATTAATGCAGATTTGGGCAAGGTGGGACTGCCCAGGTACCTCCCTGGGTCGGGCAAGTTGGACTCTGTCTCTTGCTACTTTTCAATAATATCAAATCCTGAGCACCAGTGTATCCTTTGGGTCTGCCATGAATTGGGTTGCGGATTTTCAGCTCTGTTGTTTTACGTGGCATGCCACGCAGTCATCTGGTGCAAGGCCTCAGGGACGGGTCTGGGGGCACTTTGGAGGTCTTTGATGGGTTATGACACCCCCTGAGCTGCCCCTCGTGGGAATGTGCCCTGGATGTGGCCTTCTGGGGCTGGGGGGTTTAGAGCTGAGCCAGTTTGTGTGAGGGAGGATGGGTGTCCACTGCCTCTTAGCAGAGGTTGCACCACACACCCTAAATTTCCTCCTTCCCCTCTGTGGATGGGAGGTTTGTGTGCAAACCTGACCTCAGCAGATGAGTCTGTGGCTATGACTCCTCCAACCTGAAGGCAGACAGAGTTGATTTTCAGGACAGCTGCTGGGTTTGGCTTTATTGTGGATACATTTATCTCCCTTAGCCTTGTTTACTTTTCCCCAGACCTGAGATAACAGGACAGTAGTATCACCTTTATCTTGTCTCAAGTTCCCTTAGGTGGCTTAACTCACAGTCCCGAGTTCCAGTCAGAAGGCATTTTCAGGGAGGGGTGGGCTTCAGTAGTTGCAGCTTCTTTATACAGTTTTGTCACAATCGGCAAAAAGTCTGTTATAGCAATATTTAAGCCGTTAGCCATAACATTCCAATATCTCACAAGTCCTGTGAGGAGCAGCTGAGAGAGTAGGGCTTGTTTAGCCTAAAAAAGAGGAGGTCCACTCGAGCTATTTTTAAGTGATATTTAAGCTACAGGTTTTTCTGTTCTAACTATTATTAATATTCAGCTTTTTAGCTCCAGGTTTCAGTATGAGCCATCTTTGATTTGCACAACATAGCCATGTAGTTCAAATAAAGTCCAGCTAGAGGCCTAACAATACTAGCTACTTATGCCAAACAAGCTCTCAGCTACTTTCAAATCATATAAAATTTTTAGCACCAGTATATCCCTTGAATCTGCCATGAGTTGGGTCTGGATTTTCAGAGTTCCCTTGTTGCTCCTTTTGTTGAGGCATTGTCGCTCATCTGTGACATTCTCCCTTCAAAATGACTTCTGGATTCCCGAAAAAGACACCAACACCTCATCTTTTGTCCCGGGAGATGCTGAAGTCTTTAACTGTAAGTACTCACTGGGGCTGTGTTAAAGCTGGAAACTCCCCTCGTGTCCCTCCTCTCCCTGCCCCTGTTGTCAGCAGCGCTGTGAAGCTGCAGACCCCCTCCCCACCTCTTTGTGCCCTGCTCCTGGCTCTTGGTGGGGCTGTCCTGGTGCAGTAGGGAAGGCTGTGTGATGTTTCAGGGACAGTCCAGCATCCTGCCTGGCTGTGCCACTGGAGCCAAGTGAAACCAATGTGCAGCTGAAGCCCTGAGCAAGTGCTTCTTTCCCTTTGCCGCAGCAATTCCTTCTGTCAGGCTGGACACTCACCTGTGCTGCTCTGACCAACCTGCCCTTGGGCACCTGGGCATGTGGGGGGGAGGGGGGGGGCGAAGCTCAAACTCTGCCCAAAGCCTTGAGAGACACGGCTGGTCCCAGCTGGAAGAGCTTCCAAGCCAGCTGTTCTCTCTCATCTCCTGTGTGGGCGCAGATCCAGCCCTGCAGGCAGCACTGGAGTCAGGCCACAGAGGTCCCTTGGTGTCTGGAGCTCACTTGAGTGAAGATGCCCCGCTGCTGAGGCTCTGTCAAGGAGATCCCTCTGTTTTCTTCTGTGGAAGAGCCTGTGAGCTCAGACAGAGAAAACAAATACTAATTGACAGAACTAAAATTTGGACACATTCCTGTGCACCTCACTCTTGGTACAACGTTCCTTTATTGCTTCTCTTGGATTCACCCAGTAGTGCTATCTCCATGCTGTGAGTTTTTTGTGTTTTGCAGGGAGAGAGTTAGGGGAGTTCTGAGAGCTCGTCCCCATTCTCTGAAGAGGTCAAGGCCTCAATCCAATGAAACATAAGAGGAAACAAATGCCCAAAGAGCATAAATCCCCAAACATGTCACATCAGATCACAAAAAAGCTAACGGGACAGAGCCATGTGGTTGGAGTATGTGTATTTCACTTTGTATTATTAATGTACTGATGCTAAGTATTCCAGCAGGAAACTTCCAGGGCTTCTAGGACTGTCCTAATGGCTGTGAGCACAAATTATTCACCAGTGCCACTTGTTCAAGAAAAGCCTTTCTGAACAAGGACATCTCTGAGGCTCTAGCTGGTGTATTTTTGCCTTTCAGCTGCTTCCCTCTAAGTTCCTGGGGGAGAAGTTTGTCAGCACGAAGACCAGCACTGGGGGGAGTATTCTGCCCAAAATTGGCCCATCTCGAGACATGCGTGGGCTTCATCAAAAGGTAGCCTTTTCCTTCTCTTTTCCTTTCTGTTTGAAGTTTAAGAGGGTGTGTGCATATGACAAGGCTTGCCTCCAGCAAAATACTTCAGTGTCCAGGTCTTATTGCAAGCTGCTGGTAGTGGTGAACGGGAGTCCTGATCTGCACTAAGCCAACACAAATAACCTCTGCTGAAGCTGCTGGGGTGTGCTGGAGTGTAGCTGCCATTGCTCATGGGAGGAAGGCTGGGGACACAAAGGCACCAAATTGCCATTTGCCATTCTCCTGCTGAAATAGCCACCTCTTGCTTTGGTGTGGTCACCATGAAATGCTCGGGGTCACAGGATTTCTTCCAGAGTGGCAGCGTTGGCCTTTGAAGGCCGAGGACCTGCAGTAATTACTTCAGATTTAACAAAACAAATTGCAAGAATGGTTTGGGTTGGAGCAATGTGTTGGACCCTGACAGGGTGTTAGATTTTGCAAGCTGACAGATGTGCAAGGGACTTGCCCTGGGCAGAGGGGAATGGATGTTGCTTTATCTGGATCAGTGCCTGCGTAGAGGTGTGTTTAAAGCTGCTTTTCTGGCAGGACTGGCTCAATATAAAGCACAGTCCAAAGGGGTAGGTGACCGAGGTGGGCTGTTGAGCAGGAAATTGGCAGCAAGAGACATGTAACACACTGGTTAAGGATTGCCCTGGAGAGGGGCATTGGGAGCACCTCAGGGACAGGGTGCTGCAGCCACTCCCTTCAGCAGACTCTGTCTCCCGTGAAGTCACACAGGAGACCTGCTTGAGTCTCAGGAGTGACAGCAGTGTGGCTGGAGAAGGCAGACAAAGCAATGTCTCTGCTCCAGAAGCATTTTCTGTTGTTGTGTCATTCCAGACATGCCTCTACAATGGTATTAAATAAGATAGCAATAATTACAAGAAAGCGCCCATTTAAAGCGCATGGAAAAAGAAGATACCAACTCTACTTTTACCCAAGTTGCTGAGAAAACTGCTGAACCTTATTCTCATTCAGCATTTACCTCATTTGTCTTTTTATTCTTGTCTTTACCTCTGTTTGAAATGCACTATCTTTTAAGTACAATGAAAGGGGACAAAATCATCCAAGCAAAAGAAAACTGTTTATTAGTAACGATTCAGCTGAGCCGGGCATGTCTCCCTTCCGCTGGAGACAAGCAAACACACCCTCGGAGAAAATGGCAATCTTTCTATCCCCTCTGTACCCAGCTGGGGTGGTCCCTGGCCCCTTTCCTATTGGATGGGTACTCGGGAGCTTCCATTCTCTACTGACCACTGACCACCAACTTTTCTGTCCACGCCCCTCTCATCCTACTTCCTTTTGGTCAGGTCTCCAACCCCGTTCTCCTCACTGCAACACCCAACAAACCAACCTGAGCAAATCCAAACCACAAACAACACATAGAACCAACAAATTCCATTCTTTTGCTTAATAACCTTTTGGCTTTAGCAAAATACCACCTCATCTCTCACATTTCCTCTGGTACTGTTCTCTTCTTACTGATGTATAAGTTCTAGAGCAAAAAAGATATTTGCAGTTGTGTGGGCCTCAGTTTCCCTGTCTCAGAGTAAAGGACATCTCAGAATTGTTTCCCATGGAGTCTGCTGTAAATCCATGGGTTTTTCTACTCCATTAGTGTTCCAGAGCTCTGTGACCACATGGGCACAGGGCTGTGCTTAAGGTAAGTGCTACCTGGCATTCTGGAGAAGGAAACCTGGAGAAATACATACCAAAAGAGCAGCTTGCCTTGAACCTGATCTGTGTTGCCCAGCAGTTCTTGATCAGCTCGGAGCTCAGTAGGTGAGCTACTGTTTGCCCAGTGTGGGCTGGGCAGACGTGCTTACCCAGAGCCTGTACTTCACTGGGGGTCAGTGTAAGATTCTCCTTTGTGAACCTTCCTCCCAGCAGCTGAACCTCTCCGTGTTCTCTCTTTCCTCTCCAGCTGACATCAGCTCCCCGGAAAGAGAGCTTGATTCAGGTTTCCCCACCAGAGATGGTATTGCAGCACTTCGTTACCCATGAGGCCTCTGAAATGGTGGTGTCTCTCACTAATAAGGGCAAGGTAAGTGCTGGGATGTGAAGGTTTAACATTGTGCTGGAAGAGGAGAGTGGTGTAATTCCCCCAGTGTACAGCAAAGCAAGTTATCTACTGCAGGACATGCAGAAGAAAATATCTCAGCACCTTCGTTCTGCAAGATGGAGCTGAGACATTTCCTGTGCAGGGAATTGTCCCCTGATTTTGGCCAGGTATTGATGGTATTTATTCCAAAGGAGTTTCCTTCTCTTGAAAGCTCTGGATTGATAGGAATGTTGAGTACTGTGCAGTTCTTACCTGCTCTCATGCTTTGCCTTGAGTCTGTACCACATCCTGTGTCTCCTTGGGTAATCTTGGCTTCTAAAATTGGTAGGAATCCCTGCCTCTCTCAGCCTGTCTGTCTCCCTTTGTGCAGCTCACAGTCAAAGCTCAGGGGTTGAGTCTTCTCCACTTTATGCTAGAATCACTTATCACTTTGGCACTGCAGGAAATGCGTTCTGAAACAGCTCTGGAATCAGACTGATGTAGCAGAAGCAGCAGGAGGCCTTTAGGTGCCATTTCAGGCTCCTGCTAAACTTCAGCTCTGCTCAGGTTTTCCAAAAGCCAACATGGTGCTCTGCTTTTCCCTTGGAGAATCACAGCACATACAAAGCCATGTGCTCTTGGAGGTTTTCTGTTCACTTGAAGAAATTGTGATTGTTTTGTAGTTTGCCAAGAGAGTTGAGAGAGAAAAAGTTGAAAAATATCAGCAGTTGTGTTCCACTGTAAAGAGGACAACTGAGACCATTTGAATTCCAGTTAGGGAAACATTTTCTCAAATAAGGCTTGTACCAAGAGTGGCTGGTGAGAAGAGGCAGGAGGGAGTCAAAAGCATCTGGTTTAGACTTTTGGAGAGCATTTTGGTGCTCAGGGGTTGATATCTCTGTGCTAGAAAGTGCATGTATGCTGTGTCTGTCTATCCCAGAGGGCAGAACCTGGCCTGCTGGCTGCAGGCAGGAATGCCCAGCAGCCCAGCTTGCCTGCACAGGCAGCAAGAACCCCTAGAGAGCCAAGATTGGCTTTCAATACTGGAACCACACTGTCAGTCACTGCTGGTCATGTGTCTCCAGGCAGAAAATGCCTTTGAAGCCCATAGTCGATAGGCACAGCCTGTCTGTCACTTTTGGCAAGTTGATTGCTGTCATAATTTTATGATTCTTCCTTGCTGCTTTACTGTCCATTTAAATTCTCTTTGTCATCTCCTTGGTTTAGGAATTGTCTTGCTGTGTTCCTTCATTTGCTTTTATTCTCAGTAAGGGCACAGTGTTTGGTCTCCTCTCTTGCTGGTCTGTCTGCCTGTCTGTATCCCCAGAACTGCCCTACCCAAATCTGATCTGCTAGAAGAGATTTTCTTCCTTCCCCCAGGATAATGTGCTGTTTTACTTTCAGGCAGCACATTCACCCTCTGGAACATGACTGCATTGCTGTGTGCTGGCAGAAGCCAGCAGGTTTTCTGGTCTTGTTGAATATGCAGATGACTTGGTTCAGGTGCTCTGTCTCCATCCTAGTGCTGACCTGCTTGGCCCTTCCTTCCCACCAGGCACTGCCCTACTGCCCCTGGCCAAAATGCTGGACCCAGACAGAAAGGATTCAAGTTCACCCCTGTGAATTATGTGCCTGTACCTCCACAGCTGAAAGTGCTTTAGAAAAGGAGTCAAGGAGGGATGTTCACAAGGGCACAGACAGGTCTTGTCTCGTCCTGTTTCCACAAGTGGCAAAATCATAATTTCATATCTTTCCTGCAGTTTCCTCAGCTGGTGAAGATGTACATGGAGAGCTCACCTCATTTCCAGCTCATGGGCCCCAACAATGTGTACCGTGTTGTGACGCCGGGTGTGCCCACCCATGTGCGCATCCGCTTCACCCCTGATGAGAACAAGGTGAGACTGGAGGAGCCAAAACAGAATTATCTCCAAAGCCATTGTTCCCTGCACCCTGGGTACAGCCCATTCCATGCTGTGAGCTTGGCTCCAGGCCATGGGCAGGCAGCTTGCTGCCAGTCACACCTTGGCACGTGCTGTCAGGCACTGCATCCAGGCCTGACAGGCTCTGCTTCCCCTCCCTGCACATTCCTGAGCATTCCCAAGGGAAGATGCACAGGGAACAGTATGAAAATGACAAAGGGGTGTTGACAGATGTTCAGCCATTTCTGGGTACAGTAAAAGGAGCTTAATTATTATGGAAAATACTAGAGGAATTAAGAGGTCAGAGAGCTTTCCTCCTTCCTGACTGGCAACAGCTTCTCTGCCTCACCCTGGGCTGGAGCAAAGACGGTGCTTTTTCACACCCTCTGTTCTCCAGCCTTGCAGCTGTGCTGTCCCAGAGCACAGCTGACCATGATACAGCTGCAGGGCCAGGGCAGAGGATGTGCTGTGCCCATGAGCCCAGCCTGGCACAGGCACACTGGGCTCTAGATGCCCTTAGCCAGCAGGAGGTTGGTGAGCTGCAGGGGACTTGGCCACCTGCCTGAAAGAGCTCGTGTAGGGCAGGTACAACCTGCAGGCAGAGCTGTGAGCCCAGAGCCTGTGGCAGTGAGACTGCTGTGGCTCTGCCTTCACGCCAGTCACTGTGGTGGTTCTATCAGCTGGCACCCATTCCATGACAAACCTGCTTTTGTGGGGAGGTTTGAACACCGCTGCTGGAGCCCTGGCAAGTCTGATCTCAGTGCTGTGATCCAGAGGCTTGTTCATACAGAAGGGTTTAGGACATGGCATGGAAGGGAGGAAGCCTTGCAGGGAAACAAAGAGAGGCTCTTTCCAACAGCATCCTGCTACCTCTTAGTACTGTTCTTCTCCTGACTTGGTTGGAGAGGCAAAGTTAGAGGGGAGTTCTGAGTCAACTAATGTTTCTACACCAGGTCAGATGTGCAGGAGCACTTTGGGTGCAGCTGTTTTCTCATCTTCCTTCTGCTGCTTAGAGTCAGTTTAACACTTTGTCTTGTTCTCAGACAGCGGGAATATAGAAACCTAAAGAGGAATGTCCTGTGTTCCCTAGCTCCATGTTCCTTAGAAGGGACTTAGGAATTATTTAACATTGTTAAAATTTAGAGTAAAAATTATGGTGGCCTAGGGTAGTTCTCTGTATGATCCAAGTGACACAAGAGCTTAATGCCACAGAGATAGGTTTTGGGAAGTGCACTGGTGCTTTTAAAATGTGACATATTAGTAGAACTTAGTGTTCATTTTAGGGTGGGATAGGTAAATGGATGCCATTGATGAGTTATAGGAAATGGTTTTTCTTCTGCCATGGGGATAGCACTAAATATCCTGTGCTGAGCTAGTTTCTTTTCCTGCAGGATTATTTCCACCAGCTTGTCTGCACCACTGCAAGGGAAAGGATAGTTGTGCCAATTCAGGCCATTGGTGCCCGAGCTATCCTGGACTTCCCTGACCAGCTGGACTTCCCAGCGTGTCCGGTCAAGTACAGCAGCCAGAAGACTCTGCTGGTTCGCAATGTCAGCAACCAGGCAGCTCGTTACCAGCTGAGCACCCAGAGGTGAGGCAGTACAAAACACCTTTGGGTGATAACAGGGCTGGGAAAGAGCAACAAAAGGAACCAGAGCATCGCAGCTGCTGCCCTGCAGCCTGGCTGGAAATGGGCAGGAGGAATGGCATCTGCTCTTGCTTTCAGTGTTCTTAGCAGGATGCAGCCTTTGAGCTTTCTCTGTCCCAGATTTCCTCCAGGGTGCTGGAACATGTTAGTAACTGGCTTGCACCCACCTGAGCACAAGCAGCTTCTGAAATGCTTACTCACCACTGTCAGCCAAATAGACCCATTCTCTGGGAGGCCACAGGCACGTGGCTTTCCAGTGGTCCCTGCATCAGATGCCCAACTTGAGCTGTGCTGCAGGCATCTGGTGCATTCCTGTTACTTAAAGCTGATCTGATTTCCCTTGTCCGCTGAGGGCATCAGTCACCTCTTCTGTTCCATGATAAACCTTTGAAAGCCAGTTTAAAATTTCAAACAGATGATTTAAATCTCTGAATAAGGTTGTGCCCCCTTTCATTGAGATTTATTTTTAAATATTCTGAAGTTCCTCTGTTTCTGCTGTTTTTTCTTTTTTGTTTTGTGTTAAATGTTTGCCAGAAAATCATGCATTCTTCATTGGGAACTTTCATGAAGGTTGAGCTCCTCTGATGCCTATCAATATACCGCATGCCCATAGCTACATGCAGAGGTGTATAGGAAATATTTAGGGAATATGTGAAAAGCAGTTGAGCTGATTTAGAAGATAGAAGCATAGAATAACTTGCTGGAGGGGACCTCTGGAAATCATCTGAGCAGACACACTGCTCAAAGCAAGACCAGTGTCTGGGGATTGCAAGGTGCCATTGGGAGATCTGGACCTGTCTTTAGATGCCGTACAAGGAAACAAACATACAAATGGACCTTGTTAAAAGGCAGAAGAAAACAACCTATTAAAACCCCCTCCATACCTTATCTTTTTCTGCCTTTTGGGTACAGCAGTGATTCATTGAAAGGGCAGATCTAACAGGATGAGAACTGTCATAAGGAAAAGCTCACAATTTACAGATAAAAGGCCAAAATTTAGCCTACCAGCCCCATCTTTTGGCAGTGGTTTTCATTTGGTTATTACAGTGTCAGGGATGTCTTCTTCACAGCTCCTCTATCTGTGGGCTCAGGGAACAGCTTAGTGATGTTGGCTGAAATTCAGAGAAGTTAAGTTTAGCTGTAGAGCTTGTGTCCTTGGGTCTTGGGGAGCCAGGTCTGTGTGAGAGATGACTGCTACAGCAGTAACAGAGGAGTCTGCTGGGTACAGCCCAGGGTAGGATGTAGGAGATGCAGAGGCTGATTTGCACTCAGTTTTTCAGTCCTGAAACTGAGTCCTGAACTTGGCTGGATACTCTTCTCCTGATAATTTGAAAATAAGAAGACACCTTCTTTCTCAGGCAGCCCCTGAAGTCACCCCCAGGAGTGTTATTCCCATCCTGCCATCTGAGGGCATGAGCATGTAGCATGTGGCAGCAGTGGGAAGGGAATGGCATGGAATGGAATGTAGCGCTGAAGTGTGGCCAGGGATTCCCTTAACTGGCAGCTTCTCTGTTCTGGTGAAATTTCTGGCAAAAGAACAGGAAAAAATCCCGTGCCTTGCCCACACCAGGCACTGATTGTCCCAAGCCCCAGCAGAGATCTGCAGCAGTCTTGGCATCACCCCCGGGGCAGATGCAGGAGCACATACACTAATCTGGCTTTGGGGACAGTGGGGCCTTGTCTTTCCTCCCCTCCCTCCAAAGTCTCACATCCAGCACGTAAACATTGCTGGCCCAAGGCTTCTCCATCAGCCAGTAGTGATGTTCTCACTAGTGGTAATGGTAATAGGTCAGGCCCATCATTGCAGCAATGGATTCTTAATGAGCTGAACCTGAAGCAAGTTCATCAGCTGTCACTACTGACGTGAATAAAGTTCAGCTTGCCAGATGTTCTCTTTGTTTTTGTGTGTGATGCATTCATCACCCAACTCCCGGGAACACACATTTTAAGTGACAGATTGGCCACCAGCAAAGCCCCAGGGCCAGGAACTTTTGTTTCCTCAGTGGGGCTGTAGAAGAGCACAAAGCCCAGCAGCTGCTGGGCAGAAGCACATTTCCCCTGAGCTGTCCCTGAGCATCAAAGCATGGAGTCCTGTGTTTGTCAGGCAAGAGCTGTTTACCTGGTGACCAATCCTAATTGCTCCTGTTAAATCCAAAGTGCACCAACACATTTGCATAATTATTTACAATTATATAACACATTGCACAGAGTTTGTCTGCTGGGCAAAGCAAACAGTTACCAGCATGCATGACAACCCAGAGTGCCAGACTGCATTGCTGGTAAATACACCAAAACTTCCTGTTCTGCTTCCTTGATGTGCTGCTGCTAATGGTGATTCATTTAGCTGGGATTGGATCCTTCAGTCTGCAAATGGCATCCTCCTTTCAGGTTTCCATGTCACTGTGTTGCTCTAATCTGCATTTGCACTCTTTCAGAGTTTTGATTGCTCCTTTTGTTAGTGCAGCTTTCATCGAAATGCTGATAAAATGTGCCCTCTTTAGGCTAAATCAGCACATTTTCAAGGTAAAATAAACCAAAGAACCACACTGCAAATTCAGCAGTAATTATTCCTTGGTCTTCAAGGAAAGGTTCCTTCTCCCTGTCTGATTCCTAGGCTGTAATCTCACAGGACAGGTAGTGCCCTAACATTTGCATCTCTTGAGATGAGGTTTATAGGCAGCAGGTAAAGAGAAATTCCTTTCTCCAGTCAGTGTCAAGTTGTGCATGCAGATAGTTCTGAACCCTCTCTGTGCTTTTCACAAACCATTCTCTGATGGGATTGCTGGCAGTCGGACCCTTGAGTCTCATTGCAGAGGGCTGGATGCTGAGTATGGGGGACATGAAGTAATTTTATCCCACAGGATCTTGTGAGGGCTGGATCATCTTAGAAGTGGGTCAGTGGCTGTTTCTGATCCAGTCTGTTCTGTCTGTTTTCTGCTGAATGTGGTTGGTTTTCTCTCTGCTTGTCCAAGTGAGCTGAAGTGAGCTGCACTGCAGAAGGAATCTCATCCCCAGGTGTCCCCCCAGTCCTGATCCCTCTCTCTGTGTTGCAGTCCTTTCTCTGTGGTTCCAACCACGGGAATTCTGGGCGCTGGTGACAGCATGCAGGTGACAGTGCGATTTCACCCGCTGAAGACTGGTGCCCATTCCGGGTCCCTGGTAGTGTGCTGCAACACAGGTGAGTGCTGGGCCTTGCACGGGGCACAGGACAGTTCTGCACCATCACTCCCTGTTGTCCCATCCCCCTCCATTCCCTCTAGAGGTCCCTCCCCTGTTCAGCTTTACCCCAAAGAAAACTGAGAACTCCTTGGTGTTTAGGGAGTTGATAAAGTGATCCCCCCTAACAGGGGATTTTGGGAGTTGCTGAGTGGAGGAAGGAGGATCCCTGATTCTCCACTACCATGTGGCTATGCCTGGGTGAAGTTTTATTTTATTCCTGGGCAATGTGAGGTGTGAGGTTTCCATCAGACTCTCTCCAGTGCAATGTGTTGCTAGCACACCTCTGTCCCATATGCTGCTTCTCCACTGGCATGTCACAGACCCTTTTTCTTGTCGCCCTCTACACATATATGTAGTTTTTGTCTAATAACATTTTCAGGCGCTCAAGTTCCTGATTGATGACAAATCAAGACAGATTTTTGCTCATCTCCATTTCCCAGGCCGTTCATGCTGTTGCAAACCTCTCACGTCTATCTCCCATTTGATTTCTAGACTGAGGAATCCCATTCAGTCATTATACAGAAGCTGGTCTGTACTTACTAACCTTTCCCTTTTCCCTTTTTTTCATTTAATTAGCAATGCTCCAGCTTGGTTTTTGAGATCAGAACAATATAAAATATATCAAGACTGATGTGGCTGTGGGTTTGGACAGGGAAATTATGATGATTTTCATGGTGTTCATTTTGTAGTGGTTTGTCATGTTACAGAGCCAGGCTGGTTGTGTTTCCTCACCTGTGTCCCCTCCTGCTGTGGGCTGTCACTTCCCTTGTTCCTCTGGGCCTCCTTTTGCTGCCCACATGCCCCCAGGCGTATTTGCTGGTCAGCAACAAGGGATCCAAGGGATCAGGAGAGACAGGAGTCTCGTGGGATGCCCAGGGGAGACCCTGGGCAGGCCAGGACTGAACAGAGCTCCTCAGCATCACCTGAAGGACTTTGATGTAGAAATCCCCGAGTGACCCATTCCCTGATCTGAGTGGGTCACCGGAGCACACTGACAAATCTCACTGTACATACTGTCACCTAGGGGCCAAATTTCTACAAACACACTGAGAAATAAAGAGTTTAAGGAGGTGCCCAGGACAGCCTCACTCTGTACACCCAGAGCTGTCAGGATGTGATAAATGTACTGATCCACAGAACTGCTCATTCAGCTAAAAACTGTGACACCTCCTTCTGCCACCTGTGGTTTGCTCTGTTCCTTGTGCTTCCATCAGCCAGCGAGCTGAGCAAAGACTCCTCTTTGCTTTGTTCCAGGTGAAGAAAGTATCCACACAAACCTCCATGGACAAGCTGTGGATCTCAACATTGCGTTGAGCACAAATTCCGTGGATGTTGACAAGACTTTCATCGGCATGTCAAACCACACAACTGTGTTAATTGAAAACAGGAGTAACATCACAGCCCACTTCCAGTGGAAGGCTTTTCCTACTGAGGAATATGAGAATGAAGAGAAGAGAAGGTTGGTTTGAAAGATGCATTTCAGTGAGAGACATGGCCCAAGACTGAAACTGACATGTGGCCTCAGGGGGGTGTTGGTGCTTTTGAATGGTTTAGGCCAAGTAAACCATCCCTGGCCCTGGGGTGTGTGTCCCTGGGCTTCAGGAGCTCAGCACTGAGCATTCCAGTTCCATTTATACTCCAGCCATGGCATTTTGGGAAGGAAAGGTTGGTTGCAATGACTGGATTTCCTCAGGTTCTAATTGGGCTTTTGCCTCTCTAATCTTCTTCCTACATGACCTGGCAACATCCTTAAACATTTCCTGAGTTGCCAGCCCCTCTTTCCAAAGGTGATGCACCCTCTTTTTCTCCCTTAGTTCATTCAAAAGCTCCTTGCTCATCCAGGCTGGTTGTCTTCCCCGTCAGCTCATCTTTCAGCACACAGGGACAGTCTGTTCCTGTGCCTTCGAGACTTCTTTCTTGAAGTATGTCCATTCTTCCTGGACTCCTTTGTTTTTAAGGGCTGTTTTCCAAGGTACTCTCCAAATCAGTCTCTTGAACAGGCTGAATCTGCCCTCCAGAAGTCCAGACTGGAAATTTTCTTGATGCCCATCCTTGTTTCACTGAATATTGAGAACTCTATTCTTTCACAGTCACTGTATGGTGAACAGATGAAGTTCATTTAGTCATTAGGGAATCTCCTGGTGATATCCAGTACCTGGATCCCAGGGAGGCAGCACAGTGCCCTGTGGAATGGATCTACAGGGCCCTCAGCTCCCCTTAGAAGGAAGTCACCTACTACCACTACCCTTCTTTTCTTCTTAATACTTGAGGCTGTGATCTGTCTGACAGACAAGTGCAACTGGGAGACTCTCCAGACAGAATTTTTTCTTTAGTGTCATCTGCCAGACCCTCTGGAGCCAGGGCCTCATACCTATTCTCTCAGGGCACCTGGGTAGGTGGTGGGCATCAGGACAGAATTTTATTACCTCCCCAGTAGAGACCCATTTCCATTCCCCACTTTCTCTTAGGTCTCCTCTTGCCTGATCACAAGAAGGGCAGGACTCCTCTGGCTCCTGCTCAGCTTCTCTCAGGATTGGACAGGTGTAACTCCACCAGTTTATTTCTGTTTCACTCTCCCTGATGCTCCTCAGCCTTTCCACTTCTTCCTTAAGTTCTGCCACTCGACAGAGCAGATCACTCACCTGCTGACACCACACACAGGTGTCTTGCACACTGTCCTCTGATATCAACACCAGGCTCAGACCCTCCCTGCAGCCAGGGGCCTGGACAGCTGCGTCCTTCTTGGGGGGTTCTGTTTGAGTTAGTACATCCCTGCTGGCAGCAGCAGCAGCAATGATGTTTCATTGTTTGTAAGCCATTTCTGGGGAAAAAAAAAAAAAAAAAGGCAGAAAGAAGAAAGAAAAAAGGAAAAAAAAAAAAAAAAAAAAAGGCGAGCACCTCAAATCCAGCTAAAAGACACAACCCAGGAGGGTTGGTGGCTGCGCTCTTTCTGCTCAGCCACACCAAAACTGAAAAAACGCTGTGCCAAAACTGCTGTGCCAAAACTGCCGTGGCAAGCCCCTGCTTGCTGCGGGCCAGGTTGCTCGCACTCCCCAGAGCTATTTTATGTTGCCTGCAAAGGACCAGGAGATCGACCCTCGTCTGCTTGAATGGCTGGTGAGAGGGTCCTTTAGTGCCCTGGGCTTCTTGGTTTTCCTCTGTTCTCTATCTCCTTACACAGTGTCTGACTTCCATACAAGCTCTACGTGTTAAAAGAAAATCCTTCTCTGGCTACTTCCCTGGGCTGTTATTTTCATTTTTTTTCCCACTTGCCTGCCTCAGCCTGGACCCCAGGTGATCTACTCTCCCCTCAGAAGCAACTACGTTTACCCAGAGTAAACTTCAACCTGGCTTTGTTTCTGTAGGGTGTGTTCCAATTACATCTGTTTTCATGCCAGTTTGTGTCCTAGAGTGTCACCAGGACATTTTGTTCTTCCTTACTTCTGGTCTTAGGGATGGTTTTAGCTCCAAGGCCATTGTCCTGCTGTCAGAGAAGCTTTTGAGATCTCAGAGCAGAGAGGACTTTTTATGAGAGAAAATAATGCAGGACCCTTTCCCTCTCAGGACATTCTATTAGCATGCACTGGGATGGGACCCAAAAAGCTCTGGATCATGAAAAGACCTCTCCAGGAGTTTGCTGTCTCTCTCCTGCACAACAAAGTCCCTTCCCCTTTCAGAGCCTCTGTTTTCATGCGTATTGCATATAAAACCTTGACTGTCGCTGAAGGGATGCGGTGCCTGAATTCATCCATTTCCTTTGGAAGTGCTCTGGGATGCTCTTGTGAAAGCAGAGTAGGGAATAGGGCAGGTCCAAAATGGCAGAAACAAAGAGTGATGCTGGTAACATGTAGCTGCAGCCCAGCTTCACCTCCCATTCAGAGGGAAGTCCTGCTCCATTATCTTTTATCTGCCTCCCTCAGGCAGCTCAGTGGTAGGAAAAGCTAACTGAGGTGGCTGCTGGATTCTCCCTCAGCTGTGGCAGAGGCTTTGAGCCAGGGGGTTCTCTTGAGGGATGCTGGCTTTGGAAACCTCTCCTGAGCTCGCAAGTGTGGAGTAAAACTACCTGCTGTGCCAGTGAACAGCAAGTTATCCTCTGATCCATGTGGGACCCCCATGGCTTGGGGTCAGCCCTTGCTGGGGAGCTGCTGCTGCTCCTCCCCAAGCGCTTTGCCCTCCTGCACTCAACACTTCCCTCTGCAAATATATGGTTTATTAAATGATCTGCTGGCCTTGTCTCTCCCTGTGGCTGCAGGCAGTACTTGCTGAGGCGCCGAAAAGCAGTGTGCCTGGAAACCTTCATGGAGAAGAGAAAAATGGAGAAAGGTTCTTGTAAAGATCACACTTCCCTCCTGAGGAACGTGGTCCAAGAGGAGATGGCAAAGATGCAAGAAGACCCCCTGCTGTTCTCCAGTGACATCTTTTGCATTGAGCCAATGGTAAGTGATAGCTGAGAACCTCATTTTCCTCCTCTTCCTCCTCCCCCTTTTCCTCTTCTTTCTCCCATCCACCCTATCCCTGGCCTCCCAGTTGCGGGCAGATCCTCAGCCGGCTGGATGTGCTGAGGAGGAGGACATCAAGTTTCTGGCAGGGCTGCAGAGCTCCCTGCTGGAAGCATTTCTGCCCTGCAGGCTCAAGGCAGGGCTGGGAGCCTGACAAAGGCGAGCTCTGCTGCCAGGGCTTGAGCTCAAGGGCGCTCTGTGCTGTCCTTGCAGTGTCCACGGGGAGCAGTTCTTGTAGGCAGGGGCTCCTCTGACACGTGGTGCGTGGGGCTCAGCAGAGGCTGTTGGAGCTCTGCCAGTTCACATACTGACCTCAAGCTTGCAATGGTTCGCTGGAGGCCAAATTCAGCCCAAGGTTAATCACAGAATTGCCAATCCCCTCCTGTAACCACACCTTGCACTATTTCTGAGTGTCCCTTCCAGTGTCGTCTGAGAGCCTGGACACAAGGGTGGAAGGTTTAAATGGGCCTTTTGAGTTCTTCTGCACACAGGGGCAGAAAACCTTTTCCTTTTCTGTTTGTGCAAGCAAACTGCCACGTCCTCCCACCAACCCGAGCCCTGATTCTGAGTACTGGCATTGTGAGAGATGATGAATGCCTGGTGTCTGCACGGTGCAAAATCCCTCCTCATCTTGGAGTAAAGCCCAGAATAATCCCAACCTCTGCATTCTTTCAAAACAGGTTAAACTAATATTTTTATTTCCAAGGAAGGGGATCATGTTCTCTTGGTTACTCCTATGGACTCTGTTGGCCTCCTATGGCCATCTAAGGCCAAGAGCCACCAGTGCACAGTGGCAATTGCATCCCACTGTAGGTGACAGCAGCATGATGTGACCAGAGCTTGTGTCAGAGCAGTAGGAATATTGTGGAGAGTGGGAGCTGATCAGCTGAGCACTGAGAGCTTCCACTGGTGTGTTGAGCTGGGTTTGGAGGGTTTCCTTGGGCTCCTTGTGTTGTTCAGTCATCATTGATGCTCTAAATAAAGGCTTACAGGACTGTTGTTGAAAACAAGAAATGTGAAGTTTGAAGATAAATGTTTTGCTGTCCCTTTCTGTTCTAGGAGGGAGAAATTGGGCCATATAGTTTGGCAGAAATCAAGGTGACCTTCAAACCCCTGGAAGCACAGGAATATCAAAGGATGGCTTACTGCAACATCTCAGGTACAGCTCCTTTCCCCTCCTGCTCTGAGCCACAGTGAAGCCATGGTGCAAGCCTGAGCCCACTGGGCTCCCCTGTAACTGCTGGGAAGAGTCCCTGGTCAGCAGGGCAGTGCTGGCACATCCCCACTGGCCCTGCAGCTTCCAGGGAGTCTCCTGTGCAAGGCCAGGGCTCAGAATCCTGTGTCTGGGTTACTGATCCCAGAACAACCCAGGCAGTGCAGGGAGAGGTTTTCCTGCCATGGCTTTGCCAGCATTTCCTCAAAGGCCAAAGAGCTGCAGAGCACAACAGCTTTAGTGAACAAGCACTGAACCCTCTAGGCCACTGACCTCCAGGATGGGTCCATTTGACACGGCTCCATCATCAGGGGGTAGGAGCTGAGTTAGAAATGGGCTCCCTGACCCTGGATCACTCCCACTGCCCAGACACCACCAGACCAGAGTGGCTGAGCCCCGCTTAGCCCAGGGTGTTTGTAGGAGCACCCTTGGCCAGCACCTGCTTCTGTCCCTGTGTGGGAATTGTCACCTTGCAGCTCAGTCTGTGCAAGTAGAACACAATGCTGAGTGCCAGAAGTTGAGGATTTGGGCAACAAAGTTGTGTGCCAGTGGGCCAGGTAGTTTGGTAATTGTCAAACTCTTTATGAGCTTTGTGCCTTCACTGAATGGATTTCAGAGCTCCTCTAAGTGCATGGGAAGGAAACCACAGAATGACAGTATGGTAAGGATGGAACAGACCTTAAAGGTCATCTAGTCCCAAGGCCCCTGCCATGGGCAGGGACAACTCACCCTAAACCAGGTAACTCCAAGCCCCATCCAGCCTGGCTTTGAACACTTTTGGGGCTGGAACCTCCACAACACTCCTGGGCAATATGCTTCAGTGTCTCACCACCCCCACAGTAAAAAATTTCTTCCTAATATCTAACCTAAATTTCCTTTCTTTCAATTTATACCCATTACGCCTTGGCCTGTCACTACAGGACTTCAGAAATGTTTTAAACTCAGCAGACTGGTGGCCAAAATTGGAAACCAGCCCAAGGAAAGGGTTAGAAATTGCAAGTCAGCCCCAAGGGATATCTCATGAAGGAAGAGAAGGGTCCATAATTTCTCCTGCAGTATCAGGAGCTGGTTGCATCCAGCTCAGAGTCAGGGACTAGCACTGAGGCAGTCTGGAAAATGCCGTGTAACAGAGGGAATTACTGTACTAAAATGAACATCTCTTCCCCAGGCCGTGAGAGCAGGCTGCCCCTGCACATCAGAGGGGAAGGTCAAGGACCCTTGGTTGAATTCAGCTCTCCTTCACTGAACCTTGGGAACATTCCTATCAACACCCCCCACATCTGTCAGGTGAGCAGCAGGGCTTGGGATGGATCCTGATGGCTCCTGAGGCAGCAGCAAGCCTGGTGGAGCCGTGGAATTCCTGCCAACCTGGGCAGTTGTGAGCAGGGAATATTTGATGTACTGGTCAAATCTGAAGGGGTCAGAAAGGTGTGTCTGTTGCTCATGAAGCCCCAGTCCCTGCTTTTGGGCAGCCTTCCTTAGGGGTCAGCTGGGAGGCTTCCTGCAAAACAACCCCTTGGCACATGAGAGCAACAGTGGGTCAGACAGCTGCACGTTCAGAGGCTTTTGTGGCAGTGCCAGCCACAAGGCACCTTTGTACTGGGCTGTTGAGAAGCAGCTGGAACAAACTGGCTGCGTTTGGGCTCCAGTCCACTGCAAACAGCTTCCAGTCAAGTGTCTGCTGCTCATTCCTGGAAGCCACAGGAAAGCCATCCAGCCTCCTGGCTCAGTGCTGGCTCTTGCAAAGAGCTTGGGAATTCTTTCCCTTGCTGACCAATCCCTCACCATAGTTCAGCCTTGGTGCATTTCTGGCTCTACAAAGAGAAACGTGTTCCTGGGAATAAAGCAAAGGATTTTTCTACCTATTTGCCTTCCCCCAATAGTGTCACGTTTACAAAAAAAGTCAAGAGAGAGCAACTGAAAGAGGTAGAAAATGAGGCACTACATCATGCCAGACACTTTCAAAAGCTTGGCTGGGGAAGGCAAAGACAGGCTGAGTTTTCTTACCAAAAGATGGTGCTGTCTATACATTTAGATGCTGATGCCTCATAACCAATGTATTGTTTCCATGGTATGAGAAAAGGTGAATGAGTAGATGGTACTGTTGGAGCTGTGCTAGCTGGGGAAGCAGCAGCGCTGTGGTGATTCACTACGCAGCTGCAGTCACCCCACGTTGCTCTCAGGGCCAGGTCTGAATGAGCTTGGTGGTGCTGAGCAGCGTGGACTGCTCTGTGTCCATGGGGTAACCCCAGGGTGACTGCAGTTATGTGGAGTTACCACGGCTTTGCATGAAAACCTAAAGGCAGACCTTGTCCTGTTGTATCTTTTAACTTCTGCCATTCAGCAGCACAAAGCACCTTCTGCCTTTTCTGTGTGTTAATTGCATCATTAGAAAATAACTCACAAGAAGGGATGATTCCATGTGTATTTCCATTTTGCTTTCTTGCTGCTGCAGGTGAAGCTGATTAACCAAGGAGCTATTAATGCTCCCTTCACCTATAGCCCTTCAACTGCAAACGTGGGCTTCTTCTTCAAGTTTGCACCTAAGGAGGGCATCATTACACCAGGTGGAATCCAGACTATTCAGATCTCCTTCAGTCCCACTGTGCTGGGGACGTTTGAGGAAGAATTACAGTTCAGTGTGGCTGGATCTCCTGTGCCTGCAATCCTGACCATCAAGTAAGGACTGTGGGAGCTTGGTGGGCACATCTGGGACATCCCCCACCTTCCTCATTTTGGGGCTGAGCAGAGAAAAAAGGTGTTCCCTGAGGTCTTAATCTCTGCTCTGATCCCAGCATTGCCTTAGTGTGAGGATGCCTCCTGCCCTGTGTGGTACCCAGGAGCTGGAATGACTCCTCCCTGCAGGGATCTCCCTCTGCCTTGGGCCATGGCAGGCAGTGGGATGGATCAGCTTTGGGCAGTAGCTGCTCTGGGATGTCCCCCTGAACAGCCAGCAAGGCCCCCAGGGCTTTGGAGGTGGGCCAGCCTGGGTGATTCTGCACCAGCAGCAGTGTTTTTAAAAACTTCTGTTAATAATCCATCCCAGATGGGCAGCAGCAGCAGCCTCACCTCAGCTCTCACAGCCATGCTGTGGGGCACGAGCCCTGCTCTCAGCTCCTGTGCAGAGAGTGCCCTGGGAGCTCCTTTCCACAGCCAGGAGAGGGCTGATGTGGGAGACAGGGAACTGTGCAGCAGGAACTGTCCCAAGGACAGGGGTGTCATCCCATGGGCTGCTGCCATGGCAAGAGATAATTCTGGCCCAGCAAAAGGGAGAAGGGCTGATAGCAGGGGAGGCAGAGCTCAGTCCTCAGCACCACAGCAGCATGAGGGCTTGTCCCTGCTAGCCTGAGCCATGTGCTGCTAGGATCATGTAGGGTAAGCAGGAGAGCTGATGCTGGCTGCTCTGGAGCTTTGGAGCTGGGCTGCTGCTGTTGGGAGGCACTGGGTCAAGGCAGTAAAGAAATTAAAGCAATCTGCAGTCAATTATACCAGTAAGGTAGATGGATAAAAAAAGAACAAGGAAGTTATTACTTAGCAAGAGAAAAGTGGTGAGTAGGTCTGCCTATGGTAGAGAAACAATCATGCTAGCTTTGTTTTTGGAGGAAAAGTGATGCTTTTTTATTTTGGAAATCAAGAGGGAACCTTTCACCATCAAATAATTGATTCTCCTCTGTCCCTCTCTCAAACTGGTCATGGGATGTTTCTGCATAAGCAGCTTTCTCCTTGAGCAAGGGCAGGTGTCTCTTGTTGAGAGGTGTAGAGCAGAGCCAGTGGCAGTCCTGTGAATACAACAGAAGGCACAGTTCACTGGTCCTTGATTTTTAACCAAAAGGCAGAGTGGGCATTGACTGGTATCAGCCATGAAATAAACTCGTGAGTGTTGTGCAGCTTCAAGTGCTGATTTTCAGTTGGTGACTTTTGGAGTCTGTCTGCTGAGTTCAAGGACAGGTGAGGTGGTGTGCTAGGTGCAGGACACCCTTGTTTGGTTGTTTAAGCTATTGCTCTTGGCTGTGCCAGCTGGTGCACTGCTGACAAGCTGCTCCTTTTCTCTAGGATTCATCTGTCCACTGTGTAGAACTGCTGCTGCTCTTTTCAGAGGATATTTGGGGCTCCCCTGGCTTCATGTCTCAAAACTCTGTCTTTAATAATTGCGTGGGTCAAACTCTCCTGAGAAAGCTCCTCCATGGGAGCAGCAGTTACAGCTCAGAAGTAGCAAAGCAGGGAACCTGTGGCTGGAACGTACAGAAGTTTGTGGAGGCACCTTTATGTCCATCACTTTACAGATGGGGAAACTGAGGCACAGAGCCATGTCTGGGTGTGCGTTCAGGATCCTTCACGGGACCACCAGCAACCAGGGGGCTTTTCCTGCCTGCCCTGAGCCCAAAGCCCCATCAGTGGCTGTTGGCCTCTGGCCACTTGGCTTTAGCTGCCTCCTGTCCACAGGGGCACTGTGCTGAGCACATGGTGACATGTTGATTTGAGCCCCACAGTGCCCTGACACCAGGTTTTATGCCCCCAAGCCACAACAGCTGGACCTTTGCAATTCCCTTTAACCAAGCCATTTCCTCCTCTGTTCTCGCCATTGCAGGGGCAATGTCACTCAACCGACTTTGCGCTTCGACCTCAATGAGCTCAGCTTCGGGGACATCTCCTTTGGTGAGTGTTCCCTGGGCTGGGACACAGCATGAGGGACCTGTGTGTTCCACAGTGGAGCACTTGAACATAAAAGCATCCCTCACTCATGTTCTGCCACAGCAGCCTCTTCAGGGTGTGAACTCCAGGGCTGCTGGTGCCTCAGGTAGCCTTTTGCCATTGTGAGATCAAATAGAACCAAGGCATAGAAAGTCAGGACAGCAGAAACAACAATGCAAGAGCAGATGTTTCCCACCTGCCAAGTAGCGTTTCTCCCCTTTGGTGTAGTTATGATCACAGCAGGAGGAGCTGTGGGGATCATGGCACTGCCCAGCAGCAGCAGGCAGGAGCGGGGAAGGCAGGCAGGCTGGATCCCAGTGCTGAGCCGCAGCCCAGGGCAGTCCCGGGGCCAAGCACACAACCTCCCGCAGCAGCAGCCGCCGACCTTCGATCCCGAGCGGGAGGAGGGGAAGCTCCGCTCCCTGCCGAACCTCAGGTCCGGCCTCACAGCCGCCCACGGCATCACGCCACAACTCCCAAAAACCCCGGATTGAAAAGCCCACCCCCAGAGCCAAAACCCCACAAAACCCCTATCCCCTTTCTTCACTACGAAGCCTAAACCCATAATAATCATTTTCATTAACTTTTTAAAAAAACTAATTGCCTTTCCTGAGCTGCTTCTTCTCCACCCTGCATCACCACTGAGGCATTTGTTGCCTTTTGAATAAATGAAACAAGAAAGTCAACAGTTAGAAATATGGTTCTGAAACAGGAGATTCATTCTGCTTAGTCCAATTTCATTCCTAAAGTCTCTTCAGCTATGGCAACTGTTGTATCTTTACTTCTTTTTAACTGTTGACTGTTGTCTGCATGTGGTGACCTCAGTCTCATTTGAGGTTTTGACATCTGTGTTTGTCCTTTTTGTGCCTCTCTTGCCTCCCTGCTGGAGTCACTGCTGCAGCTGGCAGTGGTCACTGTTGATGGGCACAGAGAAGCTCTGGGCTGTACCTGCAGTTGTTTTTTCTCCCCATCTATGTTCCAATGACTCTGGATGAGCAGGCCCAGGGAGAAGCCTCCTCCCCACAGGGCTGGCCAGCCCAGCCAGATGTCCACCGCAGAGCAGGTTGTGGCTGCTGTCCGGGCTCTGCAGGACATTCCCACCATGCCTGGCTGGATCTGACTTTCCAGTACAGAAAGCAAATGTCAGAGCTAAAGTGGGGTAAACCCTTGCAGGCAGCAATCACAGTGAGCAGCACAGGTGTGATGTCCCCGTTTGTTGGGTGAGGTGGGACATGGTTCCTAATTGCTAATCTCAAAGCAAGGCTCGGGTTTGCCTCCAGCTGAGTGGGCTCTGAGCTGTCAAGTGCTCAGTCTGTTTGGCCCAAACCAAGAGCTGCCTTAAGGATCCTGCAGAGGGAAACTGCATTAGGGTGCTTTGCATCACGTTCTAGTTCCTGACTGCATCCTCACTTTCTTTTGCTGTTGCATCTTCTCAATGATGATTCACTGTTTATGTACCTTGAAAACGGTGGGAGTGTTGGCAGCCTTAACAGGGAATTTTACAGCTTGAATTCTCAGAGTAAATGCTCGGTCTGGGTGCACACTCACCACTGAGTAATAACTGACGCTGGTTTGGGGCAGGTGAGGGAGCTCCTCCCCATCACAAAGAGAGAAGCTTGCAGTATTCAGCAGGGCTAGGAGTGGGCATTTTCAAGGCTGCAGTCTGGAATCAGTGTCAAAGGGAACTAAGTGATGATCAATTCCTCCTGCAGCTTCTCGGTGAGCTGTAGTTCAGACAATAAAGAGCTAAACTCCAGTGACACTTTCATCCTACCAGGATATTCACACCAGGAGTCATGCCATAATTGGTGCCTAAATGGATATTTGTGTCCTTCCCTAGGCTTTCCCTACACCCAGAGCTGTCGCCTGACTAACACCTCCCCGGTGCCCGTGACGTTCAAGCTCCGCATGTCGGACGATGGCACGCAGCCTGCTGTGAATGTCTTTGATCAGATACGCAGCGACAGTGACCCGTCCTGGAGGGAGGGAATTCGTTTTTTTGTGGAGCCAAGGGAGTTTACAATGAATCCCAGCCAAGGGACCATCCTCCCCCAGGGACACCAGGATATCGAGGTATGGGGAGAGCCCAGCCACAGACACTTCAGTACCAGGGCTGAAGCTTCCCTGGAGTGTGGGAGGGCTTTAGCTCTGGTGCCAGCTTTGAGCACTTGGAGCCCTGTGTGAGTGAGAGATCTGCACTGGTGAGAGGCCTCTGCTAGCTGGCTTCCTTGGGATGTTCCTCAAGGAGCACCGTGTTGTTTCCAAAATCACAAGCTGAGATCACATACCATATGGTCAAGTACTGAAGCCATTCTTGTGTTTTTGAGAGAAATTTCTTTGACTGCAAGTGGGCAGAGGAGGACAGAAGGTGGCTGTTAGAGGGATGTCATTGTAAAAAGCAGTTTGCTTTTCTTCTTGGTCTCATTTCCCCTCTCCTGGGGAGGAGAATGATTTGTGTTCGCTGCGGGGAACTCCAGTGGAGACAAAAAACTGCAGCCGTGAACTGCCAAGCACCTGCTGGGCCCCACTTTGCCCTCAGCTTCCTGCTGTAAAGCTGAACTCATTCTGTTCATTTCCTCTGCATTTATGTCATTGCAGTCAGATGAAAAATTGGCCCCTTAATTTGAATACAGTGGTGCATAGAGCTTTAGTCTAATGTTTTAATTTGGCTGACCTATGCCCTGATAGCGAGGTGTGTTTATCAAATCTGGTCTTGCCAGAAGGCTTTTGCCACTCTGACACTGTGCTCTGCACATGAACCAGCAGAAGAATTAAGGCAAAATCTGCCCTTTCCTTACCATGAAACAAGAGCTGGAGGATATCACACGTGGGTAATGAGCTTTTGTAAGGAAGAATTTGCTGCTCTTCTCTTCCACCAGGTGACCCTGTGTTCCAACACGATGATGAATTACCACCGGAAAATGCTGGTGGACCTGGAGGGTGTTGGCAAGGGAGTGTCATCACTGGTCATCACAGCCAGGTACCAGCCCTTCCCTGGCCTCCCCCAGCCGCTGCCTTGCACAGGGTTTGCTGGCTGCAGCTCCCAAGGAGAAGTGCTGTCTAATGACCTCATGTTGTGCCCAACTGGACATGAGGAAAGCAGCCTGTGCTGAAAAGCACCCCTGCTCACAGCCCAGCACAGTCCTGGGCCCTTTTCTAAAGGGACCAGGAATTATATAATTTATTGGCCTGGTTTTTGGTGCTTGAGGTAGAACAAATTTCCTGAGGCCTCCTCTCCTTCTTCCTGCAAGAAGTGGAGTTATGCTGGGTTGTGACCACCCTGCACTGGTTTGGGACACACCAAGCAGCCTGCTGAGAGTCAGGGTCTGGTTCTGTCAATGAGGGCACGTGGCAGGGGGAAGTGGCTCACAGCAAGAGTGGTGAGGGCAAGGTCTTAAGAGGGGAAAACAGCCCTTGATGTGTCAGGTCAGCTCTAGTTTTCCTCCTTCCTGTGCTTCCCGTTTTGAGCTTTAATGTTCTCAGACTTAACCCAAAAGTCGTTCTTGCTGCAGCAGAATTCCATCCTGCTATGCTGCTGTGGCTGTCAGTTTAATGACACGAGGGATGCAGTTCCCTGGTGCTGTTCCCTGTCCCAGGCAGAGCCAGTCAGTGCCTGGGCTGCCATTTTGTCAAGCAAATGCAACTGGGGACAGTCAGTGCATGGACCTGTGGAGTGAGGGACCGAGGGAGCTGTAGGAGCTGGGAGGGGTGATCACCCACTCTGCAGGGCAGGGGGTGTCTCGTGCCCTCCAAGGCTGGGGCAAACAGCTGAGTTCTCAGGCAGGGCAACAGCACCGCGGGAGAGAAGAGAATAATTTTTACTGAGACACTAGAGTTGTGTGTTCCTTGAGCCCTAGTGAGCACTGATCCTTGTTGGGAAGGCTCCCCCAGAGCTCATGGATCACTGGGACTGTTACAGGAGTCCTTGCAAGCCCCCTTGGGTAAAGGAGGGGCTGAGGCAGCTGTGGGACAAAGTGCTCTGCCTGGGGCACTTGGCAGCCTCTGCCTGCTGCCTCTCAGGGTTTGCCCCTCCTTGACAAGAGGTGTTTGAGTGGGAAGACTTTGAAGGCAATTTATCACTGTAAGGCTGTTAAATGTCTGTTTGACAGTGACAAATGTGTTATGCTCCGTTTCACAATCTTTGGGGGTAAACATTCTCCATTCTCTCAGTATCTCTGATTCCCCTGGGGTCATCTCTTTGCCCAGGTGTTGCATTCCTGAGCTGTATGTGTACCCCCAAATCCTGCTGTATGATGAGTGTCAGCTGAAGGTGCCATACCAGAGGAAGTTCCTCATTGCAAATAACACCGACCTTCCTGGCTGCTACGGGCTTATTCCCCAGGTTTGGCATCGCATCCACCTCCTCCTCTCAATTATTATTGAGGCGATATTAGGGTAAAAAGTGTTTAGATAAGACCTTGCTGCTTTCTGTTCAGTCTTAAAAATCTGCTGAGAACAGGATCCTACCAAAATGTAGACTTAAGGATGTAGTTTAACTTCCTGAGGATAGAGTTTATGTTCCAGTCTTCAGGGTGTTTTCTTGTGGGAGATCTTAGAGGGTTGTGAAAAGCTGCTGCATCCATAGACACCAGTGCCCATGCTGGCAGCCTCCTTGCAGGACCCCCTGAAAGTGCTAAGCCTACAATTCTTGCATCTTGTTTGTGCCTTTTACCTTTGTCCTGGGGATTTTTAAAAATGTGTGTAAGTTGCTGTTGCAGTGGATGTTAAGGAGTCTAAAATTTCTTTGGATGTCCCTCTGAAGCTGCATTTGATTCTGTCCATTCCAGGAACGCAAGGAGGACTCTCCTGTGTTCTACTCCAGCCACAAACCCTGTGGGATTGTCCAGCCTCACAGCATTGCAGAGATTCCAGTTACAATTGAAGTCCAAACACTGGGCAAGCATGACACCGACGTTCTTATCGGCGTGTTTGGGGATGAGAGAAACCCACTGGTGAGTGCAAGGGGAGATGTGTGCCTTTGTGCAACTGCTCCTGGCAGGGTGCAAGGGTGCAGGGATTCTCCTGGGGAAAACAGGCACCGGCTGCTGAGGAGAAGGACAGGAGGGATCGGTGGCACAAACAGCTCACGCCTTAGAGGTGGTAATCTCAGTGTCTGACACAGAAGGTAGTTCATCTAAGTTGGAATCAAGGACTATTTTACTTAATTGTTTTTTAAAATGCTATTAACTTTGGAAACATCTGTTTTTAAATGTCATCTCTCTGAGCACAAAAGAGGGTGTCAGAAGACTTCTGGGAACCTTGAGCTTTCTGTAAAAGAAAGGAAAGCTGGCATTTGAAGAGTGGTTGCAAGGATTTAAACTTATATTAAAACATAAGAAAATGACGATGCCAAATTCCCTGGACGGCACCAAACATCTGAACCTGGGCCATTGTGGCACTGCATGTAAATCAGCAGGAAGGACAGGCAGTGCAGGCTGTGCCAGGGAGCCTGAAGTTTGACAAAACAGTTGCTTTCAACTATCAGGCTGCTTACCTTAAAGAGGAGGGTTTCTCCCCACCAGAATAACCAGTTGTTTAACTGTCAGCCTGGTCTTAACTTGAGATTTCTTGCAAAGATTTTGCCTGTGGACCAATAATTTGTAGTTTAAAAGGTTCTCTTACCTTAATCCTTTTAAATTTGGAGGTGAATATGTATTTTTTTTTCCCCCAAAAGCCCAGCATTTCAGGTGAAGAGTGGTAGCTGTCCCTAAAGAAATAACTTGAGTGGAGTTGAGCTGGTTACGCTTTTTTAGGTTTCCCTGTTGTGGTTTGTTTTGGGTTTTTTGGGTTTGGTTTTGTTTTTTTTTTTTTAATTAATCTTTCTTGTCTGCTTCCTGGAATAGCCAGCAGAATTACGGAGCTCTGGACAGCTGGCAAAAATCTACCCAAGTCCAAGGCTGATAGAGTTTGGCAGGATCCCAGCACTACAGCCTACTTCTCGAAGTTTTACCCTCTTCAACAAAAATTTCATCCCTAGAGACTTCAGGATAGAGATTGTAAGTATCTGTAGGGCTGTTTTCCAGGGAAATTGACTGGTCAGTAGCAGCCATGACTTGGTTTTTAAATGTAAGATTTCCATATTGCCCTGTGTGAGAGGAGGCAAGATACTACAATATTCCATCTGAGCGAGGCAAGAGGAACCTGGCTCTGGAGTGGTGTTAGCTGGGGCACCCCTCAGTGAAATCAGTTGCAGAGATGTTGGAGCAGAATTTAGTCTGGATTGTGTTGACAAGTTCTCCCTTAATTTTATCTTTTGTCTTTAGCTCTGATATCAAGAGAAACCTGTGGTCCTTTGCTCCCCAGAGAACGTGGCTTTCCCTATGGTTTCCCTGTTCTATCTGCATTTGCTTTGTGCCAAACTGCTGTTCATAGTAGAGAGCAGGGTGCGGGGTCTGTCCTCAGACTGCTCGTGGGGAGGCAATTTTCACACCTCCTGTGGGTCAGGCCAGCTGGGCTGTCCACACAAAGATGTGTGGGGGCTGTGCACCCCCGCAGCCTGTGATCTCTGTGCCATTGAAGAGCATCTTTGGGCACCAGCTGCAGAGAAAGGCAGTTTAATATTGGAGGCTGCACAGGGCAGAAGGAGCTGGGGCCGCTCCCCTGGCAGGGGGAGCAGGGCTGGTGCAGCCAGGAGGGGCCTGGGGCTGGGTGGGATGTTTGCTGGATGGGGAGATCCATGAGGGGCTTGAGGTTTGTTTTTCTTCATGCTGGGTGTGTTGGACTTGTGGGATTGGTTAAAACCTGATACTAAGGACTTGTTTGTGGCTGTGGGTAAAGCATTAGGCCATGTGGGAGAGTCTAGCCACAGCCTCCTGGGCCAAGGAGGAGGGGCATGAATTTTCTTCTTGCTGCTATTCCCGCTGTTTGGGGGATAAATGTAACCTCAAAGTGAGGGATTTTTCCAGGACAGCTTTCTCTAACTCCACAACAGAATTCTGCTTTCAGCCTCTGCAGGGAGCAATGCACCTTGGCTGGGTGGTCGTGGTGTGTAAAGGATGGGTTTCACATGCTGGTAGCAGGGAGCTGTGTCTGCACAGCTGTGCTGGTGCAAGGCCTTTCCTCCCTTCCTTGGGCATCTTCCAGCTCTTTCACCCAATCTGTGAAATCCATGAAAAAAACAGATGATAAGAGTTTTAGGCAAGAGTGAGCCATGCCCACAGAGCACGTGTTGTCCAGTTTTCTTTCTGCTTCCTGCTTTCCTGCTCTGCTCTTACTATTTGGAGGTGACTTTTCCAAAGCAGAGGACACTGGGGCACCGCTCTACAGCTGATGATTGGTGGGAAGTGAGGGCTTCAGTCATTTAGGGGATGTTGAGAAGCACTGATGGCCCCTTGGGAAAGAATAGTTTGGTGCTGGGGATTTGCACAACTGGTTTTGCAGAGATATTCTTCAGGCTCTCAGCAGTATCCTCCAGCTGTGTGGTTTCTGGAGTGGGATTTGAGCAGTCCTGGCTTCCTCTGGCCTTGAGCCTTTGTGAGAAGCCAGGAGAGAGAAAGCAGCTTTCCTTGGCACACACTCCAGAGAAAGACTGGGGAAGGAACACTCTCCTGAGGATAAGTGTCCCCTGGGTTGGGCAAAACTGGGTTAATTAGGTGTGTCTGTTAAAGGAGGGGAAAAGACAGGTTGTATGAGCTCTGCTGTTGCCTTATACTCTATTTTAGGGATTTTAAGCCTTTATGATTTTTATCATCCCCTCTTTAGTCTTTTTTTCCACAGGACATCAGAGTGCATGGTTCCCATCTTAAATGCATATTATGCTTGTCTTACAGCCTCGCAAACCCCATTGTTACGCCGTTGAACCCAGAGAAGGAGTGATCCCCGCTTGGGGTGAGGTGCCTGTGACTGTCACAGCAACCCTGGATGACACTGGACTCTTTGCTAGCGTTATCCAGCTGTTCATTGGGGACAGCCTTTGGACTGCCTGTGGGCTGGTGGCTTTGGGCACTGGCACCACAATTGTCATAGACAAACCATTTGCCCCAGAGCTCAACCTGGGATACCAGTTCAGGTAGGAGATCTCTCCACTCCCACCTCTCCTCCTGTCTCAACAAGGAGCTGTTTTGCTGTGGTCCTTCAGGCAAGGTCTTCAGTGTCCAAAACCCTGACTCCTTCCCTGAAGGCAGAGAGATTCCTTTAGAAACATGTGATGGCCAGTTGAGAGTTGTTAGTCATGCTCAAAAGCCGCTGTCAGAGAAGCAAGTTGCTAAATTGCCATTGAATTGTCTTTAGTTCTAGTGTCTTGATTATTACTTGATCAAGTGAGGATATAAATGTCAGCAGGACAGTGAATAATGATCATGTGATGATGGCAGGCTCACAAAAGGTTCCTGAAATGGTGCCCGGATGAGGTGGTCCCTCTGTGTGGCTGAGGGACCAAGGGAAGATGTCATCACACCAAAATGGCATGCCGGGGCCCCGGGAACAAAGAGACAGGAGGGTGACAATTCCCACCAGGAAGGCAGGAGCCCACAGAGCAGTCCCAGAGGCAGATGGAAACTCTCTGGTTTGTGTGGGGTCTGCACCGCCACTTCCTCACGCTGTTCATGGGCTCTGCTGCTGCCCTGCTCTGCCCAGAACCTCGCTCAATTCTTTAATGCCAGCAGAGTTTGCAAAGTTCACTTCCAAACAGTTTCTAATTGCAAAATGAAGTTTCTACAAATGGCTGCCAGTGCAAAACCAAGGCTGCTACCAACGAGAGAGGCTCTGCTTCCCTGGTTTCCTCTCCTGGAGCAGGCAGACAATTTTTATCAGCTTGCTGGGATCATCCAGAAACTGCCTCTGAGCCAGCTTTTAGGAATGCCTGCAATCATACCCCCACACACAAAGTCCCCAAGTGCAGGATCTCAAAGATTCAGTTACAGTTTTGGGCACAGATTAATACAAAATACAGCAACCGTATGAATCACCCCAGAACAAACATTTTGGAGGAAAACACCATGCCCTGTTAGCCTCGCCTGGAAAATGCTGCATTACTATTATAAACATATTTCCCTTTGCAATAATGACATCAGAAGGGCAGCTTATCAGACACTATTTCTGGTCCACATTGAGAGCTGGAAATGAAGACCTTCTCCAAGCTATTAACACCTCAGGTTGCTCACTGGGAGCAATCTGATGACCAGGGAAATATCTACTCCCATGCTATTTTCCATCCTACCTTCTATTCTAGCCACGTTCCCTGTATTCATCGGTTCAAAGTGACAAACAGGGGCCACCATTTCCATCAGCTCTTCTGGAGCGTGGGATGCTACAGCCCACCTGCGGAGGGGGGCCAGGGCATCTCAGCCCTCAGTAGCCCCAAAGATGATTCCCAGAGCCCCAAACGTGCCGCCCCCATGTTTGCGCTGGAGCCACCGTTGATGAAACTGCAGCCAGGCGAGTCTGTGGACGTGGTGCTGCGAGGCTTCTCCTGCGTCGCACAGGTGAGGTCCCCGCCACGGGCTGAGCCTGGGGAACCATCAGATCCCCTCCCCTGGGCTTGCTCCACAGTCCCGCGACGTTAGCCTGGGGAATTGAGCAGGGGCCTTCACTTAAAACTGGTTTAAGACCACACGTTTCTGTGGCAGCACCAGTTGCTTTCCCTGCTGGCCACCCCCAGACCAGCTAAGGCTTTATTGTGATTCTACAGCTACCAAAACGCAGTGCTGATCCCAAAGTAGGGGTGGAAGGAAATAGTGCTCTTTTGGGGCAAACAGCGTTGCACGCTTAGTCAGCAAAGAAGGGCAGACAAATAAGTTACACTTAGATTAGGAGCCCAAAAAGAAAGTGAATTAAACAAGTACCAAGTGGTTATTGGGGTGCAGTGTTGCAGACAATTGAGCACAGAATAAACAAGCTGCATCACAGGAAGAAAAGGGGGCAATGACCATAACTCTGTGGCAGGAATGAGGCCCATGGTGGGCGCTGAGCCAGTGCAGGGCATTTGCAGGGTGCCCTGCCACCACCCACTGGTGACAAGTAACTCTTTCATGCAGGAGGTGCAGGATTATGTGATGTGTGAAGCTGTCAGAGGGATAGCTGGCAGGAAAGAGAAGATAATAGAAACAGTCCTTATCTGCAAATATATTGATCCCTCCATAGAAATATCAGCCAGAGAATTCTCTTTCCATGTGGAGAAGGTAAGTCTCGGGATTGCATCCTGGCATTTAACAGCATGGATGAGGGGGCTGTGTGCTTGTGTTAAAGCTCCTCTTTACCTTTCTTGAGGCACTCTATAAAGTAAGTTACGATGCTTTTAGAGGTGAGACTGGTTATTAACTTCCCCAAAGTAAAACTGCAGTTACAGCTGCACTGCCAAGGGGGATCGTGGCCACTTCCAGAGAAAGGCCAGTTTCTTTGCTCACTGTAAAGGGAGGCTTTTGAGGATCCTCCAAGGCACGATGATGTCTGTACACCGATGCTGTAAGGAAGCTGGGAAAAATGGAGATGCCTGTGAATTCCTCAGGCTGACAAGGAAAAACCCATCATCTCCTGTGTCTCTTTGCCTTCTCTGCTGTTGGCATGGATGCTTTATGGTACAACCATATGGTACAGCTCTGTGCATTTCCCTAAGCCTCACCTGCTTCAGAGGACCCCCATGTCCCTGTTGAGGCAGGACGGGAATGAGAAGACTGACTCAGAAGGCTGCTGAGAGTAAAACTCCCATTTATTCAAAATGCACTGCTCTTTTATACAGGGCTCTGTGAGGACCAATTCCATTGGTCCTGAAGTGGAAACAACCCACACCATTGGTGCAGAGTGCCTGATGCACAGTGATAGAACTTAACTATAAACAATGTGAACAACAAGAGAGATAAAGAATTATTTACATTCTTCCCCAGCTCTTTCCCAGGCTTCTGCCTGGCTAGAAACTCTCCGCTTCTCTCTTTGACTGCATCCGAGACCCACACCCCCAGACATCCTGCAGCTGCAGTGATGATAACACTGAATCACAGCAGGTGCCCTTTAGTCTCTGGATTCCAACTCCAGCATCATCTTTCCCTCTCCTGCAAGTTGTCTGAAAAAGAGACGACGTTTCATCCTTTGGTTTCTGCAGTTTTGGGCCTCTCCTCTGGTTCCCAGGCTTCCACTGAAGTACAGAATCCCCCATGGAACAGGCAGTTCAGATGTAATTAGAAGCTTTTTAGCTCTACCTGATTCTGCCTGGGTTCTGCTCCATGCCACACACACAAACTGATTTATTGCATGCTATGGCACAGCACCTGTTTGATGTCAGCACATCCAGAAGTAGTTTCCCAAAGTCTCTGGTTTCTCTAAACCATGCAAGAAGCCCAGCACAATGCATAGACAGGAAAAAAGAGCCTAGGCTTTTATGAGGCTGCTAGAGCCAATAAGGTTGTGAGAAATGACTGTATGTGAGTGAAGACCATCTAGTGCTGTTCTGCCCAATAGAAGGACGAAACTGGAGACAAATGGTCTGGAGTCACTTTCTGCTTTAGATTTTGTTGAAGCAGCCACCTCCTCTCAGGGACATATTCCCTCATCTGTACGTGGGAGTGTTTCCCTGTCCCCCAGAGGATGCTGTGGTTTCTAAAGATGAGAAGCATCTTTAAAGAAAAACCTCCTGGAAGAGTAGAAACAAATAGAAAGGGTAAATAGAAATGTATGCGTTTCTGGGGCTGAAAAATGTGAGATGCAGCAGAAGCAGGAGGAGGTCTGTGGCTGGTTGAGGCTGTTTTTCCTTGTCTCCTGTTTCCATAGAAACCCAGTGATGTCCTGACTCGGCAGTACCAACCTTTGGCTTTAAAAAACACCTGCCTGCTGCCACTGGACCTTATGCTGGATGTGGAGCAGCCATTCTTGGTCTGTGATGAGGACCAGCTGCCCCTCCCAGATGACCAGGTGAGCAGCCCTGGACTCCTGCAGTGGGGTCTGAAGAGGAGGGATGTGGTGGTGCCTTTCTGGTGCCTTTCAAGGGAGCTCCTTGAGTCGAGAAGTTCATTCTGCAGCACCAGCAGTGAGCTGGCCTGAGCTGCATCAGCGGAGCTGCTGAAGGAATCAAAATCTTACCTGAATTGAGAAGATCCATCCTGGCTTTAAGGCACAGGGAGAAGGGAGCAGGCAACTGGGTCTGGGCAAGCCATGCAGTAAAGGTGTCTCGTGGAAAGCATGCCAGCTCTGCAGCAGCCACCCCCTTGTATTGGGGCTGAGCACAGAAATGGCCTGAGGGAATCCTGGACTAGACTGTGGTGCCTACAGAGCCCTGCTGTAAAGAAATGAACCATGAACCGAGAAGCCTAAGCTGGGGTCACTTTGAACATTTACGGTTTTGTGCTGTCAGACCTTGGGACGTCATCCCACAGGTGATTAATTACTGTTCGTGTCCTTGCAGCCCGTGACAGTGGATGTAGGGGAGACCTGTCATCTCTACATCGCATTTGACCCAGCTTATGAACTGGATTTTAAGAGCTGGAAAAAAGAGAAGGTTCTGAAGATAGGCATGGTCAGGGGCTATCCTTTTGTGGAGCATATCACCCTTCGGGGAGAAGTCCACTTCCCAAATCTCCAAATCCAGCCCAGCACCCTGGAGTTTGGCTGCATCATGGCTGGCACTGAAGAAGTGCGTTCTCTGGAGATCACCAACTGCAGCCCACTTCCTGTCAAGTACCACTGGTCATTCCATTCAGACAACCAGGTGAACAAGTTGAGGTATGTGCACCTTTGTCCTCTCCCTGAAGCTCTTCTTGCTGGTGTCCTGTTTGTACTTGGCAAAGAACAAAGCTGTTGGCCTAGGATCTGGCAAATAACACTGACCAGCCATGGTCAGGCTGGATGCTCAGGGAATAGGTTTTCCAGGAGTTTGGTGCTGCGTAGCCCCCACGGTGATTTCCCCTGGGAAGGAAAGCTGGGGTGAAAGCTGCTTTCTCAGACCTCTGTGGCCTGAGGCAATGTCCACCTTGATGAAAGGCTCCTAGTGCCAGCTCCCACAGTGCTGCTGGAGGCCCTTTTGGCCCCTCTGCTTTGGGATGGGTCCTCTCTGCAGGAACTGCTCTCTGCTCCTTGCCTCCCTCCCTTGCATTGTGCTGCAGGATGCCCAGAAAGTCCCAACACCAGAGAAAAGCTACCTGGTGCCTGGGCTGATGCTGAACATCTTGTTACCTTCCCTTTCCTTCTTTGCTGGGACAACTCCTTTACTGCCAGGATGATTTCCCTCCCAGGGGTCAGCTTTCAGTGGACACCTTGGATTCTTCACTCCCTTTTTTTGTGGACACTTGTTACTTATTTTGACTTTTCCACCCTGCAACATGTACATTATGGGTTCTGTTCTGCTTGACATCAGGACTTGTTCATCACATCATTTCCTATCCCTGCCTTCCAGAGAGTTTCTACTTTAGGGTGAAAAATGTCGTTGTCTGGTCACCATGGTCCTGAGAAGTTGCCTCAAACCATTCATTCAACTAAAGACAGTGGAATAAATGATTAGGGGATCTCTTGGGGGTTATGATGAAAGAGCCCCTCATCCAGAAACGAAACCCAGCCTTAGGTAACAAGCTACAAAGCTAAAGGCAGTGATTCTTTGGGGAGCAGGTCATTACAGGCCCTGAATGCCTGTCTGGGAATGGAGAATCCAGGTCGTGTTTGACTGTGTGGGAGCACTTGCAGCTCATCAGGGTGACAGGCAGGCACGGCTTGACTGTGTCCCTCACGTGGCATTAGAAACACAAGCAGAGTTACCCTAGGCACCTGCTTCAATTTAAAATGGGGAATGTGACCTGAGTCACCTGGGAGTGTTGGAAAATGTCAACCAACCCCCCCCAACACTGTCAGGGAAACGTTCCTGATAAATACCTGGTGGAGCCGCAGAGGTTCTGGTTGTGGGCACTGTGGGGGAGCTGTGCTGGCTCGTCTGTGGCCAGGTCTGCCCCTCAGTGCCTCAGATCTCACCTTTTTGCTTTCCTTCCCTGTCTTTTCCTCTCCCACTGTGCTTTTTGCATCCCCACAAGATGTTAATCCCTATCCTCTCTAGTTCCTCAATGTAAGCAATTGCAGCTGCTGTACCACTGCTACCTCAGTGTCATCCCTGGGCTGCCTATAGAGGCCTAATCCAGCCTGGACTGGGAAGGGCTGGATCAAACCATTTCTCAGTTCAGCATGCCAGCACCCTGGTCAGGGGCTGCATCCTGAGCAGGAGCTGCTTGTGCAGGTGTCCCTCCCTCCTTCCCACTGCAGGTCCCTGTTCATAGTTATGTTGTTTTCCAGATCTGAGCTTTACCTACCTAAATTCAAACCTCAGCCACCAAAGGAGAAGAGAACCCATATGGATTCCTTGGCATCTCAAATGAGACGCTTCAAGATTAGAAATGTGGAGGAGGCAGACATAGCCCTGAAAGAATCGCGGGATCTTGCCCAGTCTGTAGGAGCAGAGGTAGATTTTCTTGTACACCTAGTGCTTGTGCTGCCTCCCCAGCCTGCCACCAACCAGTCATGCTCGTGCTGACCTCTCTTTTTGCTGCCCTGTTGTCCTGTGCTCTGAAAGTTGGCCAGGCAGCAGGGCCGGTGGCTGGACGTGGGGTGTGTGAGAGAGAGAAATAGGAGAGTTTTTCTTGGAGAAGCACGCTCAGATCCTACAGGCCTGTGTTGAGTGTGCGATTTTTTTGCTTTGTTTTCTTCACAATGTGAGATAAGGCTTTTATCTGCATCATCATGGTAAGACCTCCAGCTTCCTTCCCAGAGCAAGCTGTGATGAGTCCTGAGCTCCATGTACCCTTTTCCCAGCCCAGCCAGACTACCTGTTTCCAGGTGTCTGCTTTCACCCAAGAGCTGCTATTGCACTGGTGGCCCTGAAGCTGTCTTACAAACCGAGACTTTGCAAAGTGGCTGTCTCTTCCTCCTAGCATAGAAAATGGCTTGTTTTTCAGGTGCCACCACAAACTCGTGCAGGGTATTACACCCCACTAGGGTTGACGGGATTCAGGTGCTCCAGGGACGTACCGCACACTCCCCTTGAAGCGGAGGAGGTAAGAGGGAATCTGTCTCACTTGCCCATTGCCAGCGTGGCAAGCAGGGCTGTAGCTCCCAGTCCCACTGGTGGCCCCCAGCACTGCCCACAGAGGGGCCTCACGTCCCTCCAGGCCCATACAAAGTGCTGCTGAACCAACTGGGTGTTGGCAGGGCCGTGCAGGACATGCTGTAGGGCTGCCCAAGGACGCTGTGCAGCACCTATGGAGGGCATTGCTCCCCCTGGAACTCATCAGGTGGTCCATAGGAAATTTTTGCGGGACCTTTTGCTGAGGCACCTTGAGAAAGCAGCATTTAAATCAAAGAGAGGGGAAAAACCTCAGAAGTCAGATTAGCTGGGCCGGAGTCCTTCCCTGAGCTCCAAGACCTCTCACTCTGAGTCTTCCCTTTTTCTAAAAGCAGTAAGAAATGATTTTTAAAGGCATTAGAGAGAATAAGTTGTGCATCAGAGAGAATTTCTGCTACCAGGAGACATCCCAGTTCCCTTTAATGTAATGTATTAATTCATGCATTGATCCCTGAGCATGGGAGAAGATTTTCCCCATGGTCCCTCCATTAGTCAGTGGCACAGATGTAGGATGAGATTAGGGTGATTGTGGCCATGTTTGTGCAGCAGCTACAGCTGCACTTTGGTCCAAGATGCTCTTCTGCACCCATTTCCATGCTCAACACCTCAATCTCTCTTGTCCTCCAGGCTTTCAGTATTGTGCCAGTTTCAGGTGTGCTGCAGCCAGGAGGGAGCCAGCAGGTCTCCTTCACCTTCTTTGGCCACCTCAACGCCATCTCCAATGTCACGGCGTTGTGCCACGTGGAAGGAGGCCCCACCTACGAGGTGATGGTGACTGGGGAGGCCTCACGTGTCAGCTACTCCCTGAGCCTCCGGGAGATCAACTGTGGCTCTCAGGTACCACACATGTCCCCTGGTGATGCAGCCCACCAGAGGCCAGGCTAGCTCTTGAAACTCCGGCACTGCCAGGCATGGGGAACCGCCTTGGTGTGAGGATTTGCCAGAGACAGAAGCTTTAGAGCCACTTGCTCTGCAGTGCCAGATACAAGCCACAACAGGGACCAGGCGAAGGAGAAAGGCGGAGGCTCTCTGTCTTAAGACTCCACAGGGAAGATTTTATTTCAAGTGAAAGGAGCAATGCAAAAGAGCCCTCCCTGCTGCATGGGTTTTTATACTGTTGCAACTTACAGGGAGGTTGCTAGCAGTTGTCCAGTGGGGAGTCTTCAGGGGAGGAGTAAAGGGAATACATCATTTCTTTGGGATAGGGCAGGGGGAGGAAGGCTAAAGTCACATGGGCCAATGGGGCATCCAAGTTTAGGGGAATTCCAAAGGGGTGTTGCAGCTGGGGATTGGCCCAAACTAAGAAGTGGCACAGGTTTGGGAATAAGGGGCTTGGTTGCCTTGACAGGCAGGGAAAAGAGCTGGAACAAGGGGTGGGGAATGGCATGAAGGACGACATTGAGGCAGGGTAAAAATGAGGGATGAACCAACTTGGGGAGAACATGGAGGTGCAACAGAGCAAATAATTTGACAATAAACTAATAAACAGGAACTGCAACACCCTGGCACAGCTCCTTGCCTTGGGACCACGGCCAGCAGGTTCCTGCCCACCTCGGTCCAGGGCTCCCTTCCCTTCCCAGCCTCTTTGTTGGCCCTGGGGCCTGGAAGTACAAGCTTTGAGGGACACATCTGGCATCCAAGCTGGTTTAAAATGGCCATCTCCAACCCTCTCCAAAATGTTGGGAGTGCCTCTTTTTCAGGGTACCTAAGACTGCCTCCTGAGGAAGGCAGGGTCCCAGGGGGGTGCTCTGAGGGGCATGTCCCCGAGACATCCTTCTGCTGATCCACTCTTAAAGCCTGACCTCCACGGAGATGCTCTTGTCTAAAGCTCTTGCTTAATCCACACAACAGTCAAGGGAAGAAGTTGGGCTTCCAGTCACTGTATTTGGGGAGACTGTCCCAGAATAATCCCCACTTCACTCTTTTTCAGTTGAAAGCCCACAGATATTTCCAGCTGCTGGCCCTGTCTGTGTTGCCCTGTGTGACTCCCTTGTTGCATGTATGTTGCTTGCCAATACTTGCATGCAGGTGCCTTTTCTCCTGCAATGCCTCAGTGCTGTCTCTGTTTCTCCTGGCTGTTGGTGACCCCTCAGAGTGCAGAGGGCCTGTGTGCCCCGGTTCATTTATTGCTGGCCCTCACAGGGTTGTTACCACACCGCTGTGTGCTGCCAGAGCTCCCTGGTCCTGTGCAGGTGCCCTGTGCCTGGGGGTTCCCCAGGTTCCCAAGTGCCCTTATCTCCTCCCTGGTCCCTGCTCCCATGATGTGTCTGCCCAGGAGAGAGGAAGGAGATTCCCAGCAGCAGGCCTGGGTCTGTAACTTCCCGCTCCTGTGCCTTCTCTCCAGATATTTAATGAAATTGGTCACAGCACGGTCACCCTGGTGAACACTGGCAAGATTGAGTTCATCTGGATGCTAAAACCCAGCACTGCAGCCCAGCATCTGCCTGGTGTGTTTCTGGTCAATCCCACCACTGTAAGTAGCACAAGTGACTGACCCCAGCCCTGTGCCAGGTGGCCCAGGAGAGTGTTAAAAGGAAAAAAGAGGGTGGTGGGGGTGGGGGGAAGGGGGAGAAAAGTCAGAGGGGAAAACCCCAAACCCAGCCATGAGAGAGACAGAGCTGTAAGCAATTTCTGCTGGGGGCAGAGGAGGTCAAACAAAAGCTGTCCTGATAGACTCCCCCAGGCCTTGGCTGATGGGTGGCTCTGCTGTCACACTGGCGGGAGGCACAAGTGTGTTGGTCACTGTCCCGCTGTAAGGGAAGGACAAGAGAAATCTTTTTGGTAGATTTCTCAGATGAAAATAAGGCACAAACGCAGCAAGTGTTATATCTGAAAACTGATTATTGATAAAGAAAGGGTATGGTCACGACCAGAAGGGGATAGAAAAAAGAGCAGGGGGAGAAAATGAGAAACGGAGAGAGCAACAGAGGACAGGGACAGAGCGCTACCGCTAGAATGCGGGGCCGCTCTGTTGGGTCCTGCTCGGCAGATGGAGCAAATGTGCTGCCAGCAGCACCGAGCGTGCGGTGCAGGGGCTCCATCCGCAGCGGCAGCGGGGGCGGCTGTCCCGGGGCTGTGGCCATTCCAGGCTCCATCCGCAGCGGCAGCAGAAGCGGCTGTCCCGGGGCTGTGGCCATTCCAGGCTCCCTCCGCAGCGGCAGCAGGGGCGGCTGTCCCGGGGCTGCGGCCGGGCCGGGCTCCATCCGCAGCAGCAGCAGGGGCGGCTGTCCCGGGGCTGGGGCCATTCCAGGCTCCATCCCCAGTGGCAGCGGGGGCGGCTGTCCCGGGGCTGTGGCCATTCCAGGCTCCATCCCCAGTGGCAGCAGGGGCGGCTGTCCCGGGGCTGTGGCCGGGCCGGGCTCCATCCGCAGTGGCAGCAGGGGCGGCTGTCCCGGGGCTGCGGCCGGGCCGGGCTCAGCAGCTGCGGCTTGTCACTTGTCACGGTCGGGGCGCGGCGGCTGCTCCCTCGGGGAGGCAGCGGAGCATTAGGGTTGCCGTGGCGAGCGGGGAAGCGGCGACAGCAGCGTAGACAGACGGGGAAGAAGTGGCTCTGCAGGGAGCCGGACCCTCCAGGTGCTCTCAGCCCAACAAAAATACAAAAAATGGCGGGGAAAACCTGGCAGTGTTAACTGCTTTTATATGCTAAGATTCCTCCCATAACTCAGCCCTTTTAGGAAGACGGTCAGACGGGCAAAATTGTTAGAAGATTGGTCAGACAGGCAAAAATTTCCTGGGCTTTGGGGTCTGTCTGCCTCCAAGGGGGAGGTCTCTTGCAGCCCCCCAGACACAGCCTGCCTGCATTGTCTCCCAGCAATCTCCTTTACACGTGGAATGTGTTAAGGCTCTAAGCACATCTACAGCCCCTATAGTAATGTTTCACCCCACATCAGAACGTGTATTTATAACATATGTTGTGGCATAATTAAAAATGTAATTGGTTGCTCACAGTCACTCTGGGGACCCCAACGGCTGAGATCTCAGGTTGTGCTGGCACTGGAGTGTTTCTGAGGGTCACCTTACCCTGCCTGTGTGATCACATATCCCTTTAGTAGGCTTGCTGGTCCCTGCCTCCTCCAGCTTTGTTGCTGTGCAGCGGCTTTTTGGGCCAGGGAGCAGCAGGGCTGGAAGAGCGGGGAGAAAAATTAACAGCATCCCACTGCTGTCCAAGCTTCTCCGTCCTGCCTGGATGTCTTTGAGCCAAAGCAGCACTCCTGCCTTTGTCCCTCCTTGCAGTGGGAAGAGGAAGCCGATTGCTTTCCCATTTCTTCATGCCTGTCTCCTACAAGGGGGGAGAGGAGCTGCTGGCCCCAGTGGCAGCAGAAGAGCCTTTTTTGATGAGGTGGGCTCTTGCTGGCAGAGGGCAAACCCCATTAGCAGCAGAGCTGTGCTCACATCAGGCTGTGCTGGGGCTGCAGCCTTATGAGCCCTGGGGAGGACACACGGCACCCTAGGGTCAGAGGCTCGACTTTTTGGGCACAAGGAAGGTAGAAGACGTGAGAAACTAAGGCCACTCCTTAGTTAAAATTTAAAGAAAATTTAGTAAGAGACAGCAGGGGACAAAGTCAACAAAGGAGAATAACAGCGCTGGGTGCTTGGCTTGGGTGCTTAGCCACAGCCAGAGGCACCCAGGCAACACAGCAACACCCCTTATATACCCTGGGTATTGCATCAGCCTAATCCATATCTACAAATGCTTGTACATATTGAAATATTTTAAAATAGTTCCCTCTCTGTCCTGCCTTTTTGGAGCATGTGCAGATGTCCTGGTCCCAGTCATTTGTTACCTTTCAACACATTCAACAGGTTTCCATTCCTTCCTTGGTTAAATGTTATTATTACAACAACTCTTCACCAATATTTATATCACAACACAACATTCGCATTAAAAGAACTCTAAACCTTAGCAAGACTTCTTTTACAAAAGTCAACATTATAAAACACATAGTATTTATTCTAACAGTTGTGAAAGCCAACACTGTAATGTGTTTATCACAAAGGTGATGTGGTCTGATGGCTTCTTCTAGATGAGAACCTGTCTCCTCAGCCTGTCTGTCCCCTGAGCCATCCCCATCACTCTGATGCATTCCCTCCCTCTTCTCCTGTCCCTGCAGGGCTTCCTTGCACCTGGTGAGAAGCAAGTGCTGAAATTCTCCTATGTGCCAGGATTACCAGGAGCCTTCAGCAGGACTTACCAGCTTAAAGTGGGTGACCTGGACCCGGAAAATATCCTCCTGAAAGGAGAAGCCTCCTGTCCCATGATCAGCATGAACCTGCCCTGGAACATCATAGGTGGGCACTGCCTGTCTGCCCCCAGGAAGGGCTCCTCTGGTTTTGTTCCCTACCATATGCCCATAGGGCAGTTCATGCTCACCTCTACCGAGCCTGGAGGGCTGCAGGACTCCCAGACTAAGTCAAGCCCCCTGGTTACTTCACGAGTCTTGAGCAGAGGATCCCATGTGGGCTTTGTCCTGGGAACCAACCTGCAGAGCTTGCCAGCACATCTGGCAGGGTCCTGAAGGATGATGGCTAGACTGAAGGGCTTGGGAAAGCTGTAAGAGAAGCTGGCAGGGCTTCTGGCAGGGTTGGAATTCTGTGACGTTGCAGGGGATGAGATGCTCCTCGGTGGGGCAGGAGATGGGTGGGAGCAAACATGAGGATTCAGAGAGCAGCAGCAGCATCCACTTCCCATAGATTGCTTCAGGGATTTCTTTTTGGAAGAAACCAGTGTTGGGAGGCAGGGACTTCCCAGCTGAAATGGGACTGGCACTTTGCTCACACTTCTCTTTGTGGATGTTTTCTTCCCTCAGGAAATATAAAACCTGAGAAGCCACTGAAACAGCTTGTAAAACCCCTGCATCAATACAGTCAGAGGAGTAAATCAGCTGTTCGGAGGAAGTCTCAGACCCTGACAACTCAGACCTTGAAGACTCTGAATCCAAAGACTCGGGACCGGAAGCCCCGTTTGCTTGGCTCTGGCACTGTAGTAAGAACAGCTGCAGCCTTGTTTGGCACATGCCACCCTCCCCGTGTCACCTGAGCCCCTTGCAGCCCACAGCAGCTCCCCGCTGCACCTGGGACCTCCCTGCTCACTTACAACCATTTGTCACCTCAGCATTGCCCTTAGGGCTGCCACTCTGCTCATGGTCTCTTCTGGGGCTGCACCAGCTTCCTGGCTACCCCAGGGAGAGATCCTGAAAGCTGTGTTCAATGGATGGAGTTCAGATGGTGCTCTGAAGGAAATGCAGGTCATTTCTGGGGAGTTTTTTGATCCCAACCCAAGCCCTGCTAGATTTACAGACCTGAACAGCGGCTGCCTGATTGTGCCCTGGGGCTGTGCTGGTGGTGCTCATTTCCAAGAGGCACCAGCTTCATTCTGGTTCCTTTTCAAAACAGTTTTTGTCCAAGCTGTTTTGGTACTAGCTGTGGGCAGGCAAGTATCTGGAGCTCTGGAAGGTTCCTGGCTGCTCTATCTGCCTGCAGCCACCGGGCAAGTGTCGATGGGGTGGCCGCCTTCCCGAGAGCGAGCTCTGTGCTCGGTGCAGATAGCTCCCACAAACCACCAGACGCTCTGAGGGCTAGATGTGGTAATAATGGCAGACCAGTAAAAGTGAGAGAGGCTTGCTGCTTGAGGGTCCAACTCTGTTTATTGGAGAGTCCAGCGAAGCGAGGTAGAGATCAGGGAGCAGCGTGGCAGGTTGAAGTGGCTCAGAGGCAGCAAGCCCCGAGTGAAGGAGGGTCCAGGGTATATAACTGGGACAGGGTAGGCGGGGCAACTGTGGAAAGGAACCAACCAGAGAAAGGGCAATGGGAGGAGCACGGATGGGGTGATCGGAAAACAACCAATGGAGGAACAAGGGATGAATGAAAAGTAATAGGGACCAATGAATGAACACAGAACATTGAACTTTCTGGAACAGGGGATGGAACTACAACTTGATGGACAGAACAGTATTTGCATCTGAAACAAGGAACTATGGGAAAAAGGTTCATTCTCTCTCCCTAACTTACACAGTTGTTTCCTCCCAAGGCATTTCTGCCTCATAACTTCCCATCCGACATCCTACATCTGCCTGGCCAGATAGTTTCCTAACAGTGTCTGGGTAGGCAAAGATGCTGGAGTTGTGTCCCTGGAGATGAGGTCCTGGCTAGGAGAGCAGGAGGTGTCACAGACACTGAGCAGCCAGACAGGAGGACCCCCACACCTCCTCTCAACAAGAGCAGGGAGGGATCCTTTCTCAGGTGCAAGCTGGGCCTTAGGAAGGACCTTTGCTAATCAGCCACTGTCTTCCCTTTCCTCAGCCAAGCTCTCAGCTACAGACAGACACGATTAGGACGCTGATAGAGAAGGCTGATCTGGAGCTGCAGCAAAAGCTCACGTGCTATCCCCCGAACAGCAGGTTCCCTGACAAGGAGCTGTGCCAGAGTCTTGTCAAGTGAGTAAGGACTCCCATCCCCATCCCCAGGTGCCCCATGGGGAACACCCAGCCATGTCCCCTTCTCCTGAGAGCTCCTTGTGTCTGCAGAGGTGGGAATAGCCTGGACTTTAGAAAGGGTCTGGTCCTGGTGGCTGTGACACGCCACACGTGAGCAGTGGAGTGTCCTCCCTTCCCCCGCACCACGCTGAGCTTTGGACTGCTCAGCTCCCCACAGGTGTGGGGTTCTGTCCGTAGAGCTGGGGGACCCAGTGCAGACCTTCAAGCCCTTCCAGACAGCATAAATTCTGTCCCTGCTGACTAGCTCTGAAAGAGACAGCTCCTAGCTGATGTCTTGGTTCCAACTAACAGAGCACACTAAACAAAAGGAGAAGGGAACTGCACATGTCAGTAAATCCTTTAAAACCCCAAATCAGATGGCTTGAACCCTGGTGGGGTGGCAGGGCTTATCCAGGTAACTTGGTCCATCTCTTTGCACCATCATGATGCAGTACAAGCACAGGAGGCTTCAATTCAGGAAGAAGATGCTCTGCAGAACAGATCATATGATCTGGTTGCAGAGCAATGAAGATTTCCTGTGCAGGCAAATCTTGTTCCTAGGCCCCAAAGCAATGTCAGGCTCAGGCTATATACCAGGCTAGGCAGTTTCATTGAGACCAGTGGAGACCCAGTGTACTCACACTGTCTTTTTATGGCAGAGCAGCTGTGGCCAGTGTCCATTTTAAACTAATTTTATTTTCAGGTACCATTAGAAGTTGATAAAACCTAGGACCTGCACTCCTCCTGACTTCCCAAAGTCATTGCCAGGTGGTCAGGCCATGGGTTTCATGGGCTTGAGCTGAGTTTTTACAGCAGTGAATGAAGAAATAGCCACTGTTATTGTATCCTCCATCCACTTGGATGTGTAGCCAGACTGTGGTTTAAGGACTGTCCTTACTCCTCCTTGCAGAGTTGAGCTGCCTGAGTATGTCCTGGACATGGGCCCTGTCCATAAGGGTTACACTGAGAGAAGCACTCTGGAGATCACCAACCCAGGGCAGATCCCAGTGTCCTTCCAGGTCGATGTATCTGTCCTGCTGGACACAGGTAAGCGTGCTAGAGACACTTCTGAGGGCTTGAAGGAGGTGTCTCAGACAGATCAGCTTAAGCCATGACTTAAGCTTGAACCTGGGGAGGTTTCTGAGCTTCTTCTACTCAGTGGCCCTGCTGGGAGCTTTAGAGGCAGAACTCTCCTGGCCAGCCATGCCCAGGGACCTGGTCTGCCTGTGACTGCCCTAATGCTTCTGTGCAGGGGCCAGATGGGCTCATCACTCTGGTCACCTCTCAGCATCTTCTGCCCTTGGCTCCCACAAGCAGCAAGTTTTTTTGGGCACTCTATGGGCTAGTTTTGTCAACCAGTGGGGTCTGCTGTGTTTTGGAAGTGCTTTGTTTGGAGTTCACACTGTTGCAGCTCCTGTATTCAGCCTTTATTGAGGAAACAGCCTGTGGGATCCTCTGGTGGATCAAAAGAGGCTTCCAAAAGAGGCCTTGAGGCAAGGCTGCACTTCATCACACAGTGGCTCACTGCATCTGAGGGGTGTTCAGGTGCACTCTTAAGTTTTTGTCTAGGTCACAGCACAGTGTGGGGCTTTCCCCAGACCTCTCAGCCAGGACACCTGTAAGGCCTTAACATGCTTATGACACATTTTGTGTTTCTCATACATCTCAGCTGCTTTGTTTTCACCTCTTCAAGGTTTCAGTGTGAACCTGGACCAGGTGCGGGGCCTGCCCCCCAGCCACACCGTGGTGCTCGAAGTGCGTTTTGAAAGTGCCCACCAGCCCCAGGGTGACGTGGATGTGCTGCTGCCCATAGAGGTACCACAGCTCTTGGGGCAGCCAGCAGGCTGGGCACAGCAGCAGATGTCACTTGGGTCCTCCACTGAATTCTCTGTCCTTCTCCAGGTGACAAAAGGCCCCACATATAACATCCGCCTCCATGCCACCGTGTCTGAACTGTCACTCGAGCTCTCCAACAACAGACTGCACTTCTCTGACACCCTCATTGGGCAGTGCAAAGCTGAGACCATCCAGCTCCGCAACTGGTTCCGGCTACCCTGCAAATGGTTCATTACTGCCACCAAGCCTGTTCCGAAGGTAAAGCACAGGCGACACTGAACACGTAACTTCTTGGTTGTGTTTTCTTTCTGTCTCTTGCCCTTTCTGCTCCTGTGGCTGCCTCAGCATTTGGGTCTACAGCGCATTTGAGGAAGTTTCTGAGGGTCTGGATCCAGGCTGGTTTGCCTGGACCTGTTCCATTAGCTGATGCTTTGCTTTTCTGCCATCTTCACCCATTTCTCCTCCTCTGACGACAGTAGTTCCCTGTCTGCCTGCCCCGTCTACAGGTTTTAATTCCAGCTCTAAGCTTTGGGGCCACACTTGCTTTGGCTGTGGGTGCTCTCAGCACCATATCAGTGTCTCAGAGCATGAGGAGACCTCACACAATTGGTTTCTGTGCCCAGATACCAGCCGTACATCAGAAGCAGCAGGTGCTGGAGGATGAGCCCTGCCCCTTTGAAGTGAAGCCCTCCAAAGGAACCCTTGGTGCAGGAAGGTCTCGGAAATTGCAGATCCGGTTTACACCCAAGGAGGAGGTGAGATTGGCAGGTGTCAGCCCAGGAGGCCTGTCAGGGCTATCTGGAAATGAGGGCTTGGTGCAGAGAGTGTGGTATGAGCATTCCCATGAGATGTGCTTTGAAATGCCCACAGGGAGCTTGCACAGAGAGCACCAGGGCTGCCTCTCAGCATATGGGGGGGGTGTGCCCAACTTCCCTCAGCCTGCCCCTCTCCTGGCTGTATTTGCAGCTGCAACACTCAGTGCAGAGCAGCTGCCCACTTGCAGAGGATAATCCTGGAATGGCCAGTCAAGGCTCATCCTACTGCAGGACTGACAGACAAAACAGCAACCACACACCTTCCTGAGCATGGTGGGACAGTCACCTGTAGTGGTGTGCTGCCAGCAGTGCCTGGGGCTCTGGCCTGCCTGTACATTCCCATGCATCTGGGGATTCAACTTAAAGGATGGAGCGTTCCCAAGAGTAGTTTGCCTGTGGCCGCTGGGTCTTGGAAACTGGTAGTGTGTACCAGCATGGTCACAAGTGCTTCTGTGGTCACAAACAGTCCCAAGGATCTTTTAATTGCTCAAGAGATATTAACCGTCTTTTGTCTGGCTTGGACCAGAGCCAAACACTAAGCAGAGAAGATGACTCTTATTTCTGGCCAGCGAGAGCTAATTTGCCTCTCTCCTGGAGCTGATGTTTGCCTGATGCAGCAGTGCCAGGACAGTGTCTGGACACTGTAACCCTGAGGGCCCTTCCCATGAGCATTGCACTCCTGCATGACTAGGTGAAAATGTCTAACTGTCCATTGTACATGCATCTGCTACCAAATACCCAGTTACAGTGCACACCAGGATTCATCCCAATTACTCAGACCAGGACACAGGTGCTGTAGTCCCTAGCAGAAGTAAATATCTGGTTTCCATTCACCTTGGAGGGACTGATAACACCCTGACCTTGGGGCAAGCGTTGTTGTATTTGGGGTCCTGTCACCTGGGACTTCATGGATGAGTTGTCTCCACTTTTCTCTTTTCAGAGGTCTTACAGGAATGAGCTGGAGTTTAACATTTGTGGGAGCAGCAATCACTTAAAGCTGCACCTCTCAGGACAAGGTCTAGAGCCACGGTTGGAGTTCAACCCCCCAGCACTAAAGATGGGATGGGTGCTGGTGGACAGCGATGGGGTGGAGGCCACAGCAGTGGTGAGGAACCCATGCGACTTCCCCATTGAGTTTCACTCCCTGGATTTTGATGAGCAGTACCTTGAGGAGGAGAAGGTGAGAAGGCAGGTCTGGTCCCCATGTGCATGCTGCCCAAGCTTCACAGCACTCCAGCATTCCCAGGCTTGTGCCAGGGAGATGGAGGCAATCCCCAGGGCAAAGCCAACTCTGCTGACATGCCTTGGGAGGACTTAAATAGTTTTTGTTGTTGGGATTGTTGGGAGGAAGGGAGAAGACAGAAATCAGGTTTATTGAGTCTGTGTGATCAAAAGGCAAGAAAAGGAATCTTGTGTATGGTTTCTCTTCCCTACACACACAGATCCGGAGGATGGCAGTGGGGTCTAAGTACCAAAAGAGCTTTTTAATGCCTCCATGTACCGTGGGTAAGACTCTGCCCCCAGAGGTGCTAGAAGACCATGAAACAGAGAAGAGGACAAAGGCCCAACAGGCAGAGCTCAAGGCCATGACAGAGACCAAGGCCAGGACTGAGGCTGAGGCCAAGGGCAAGGCAGCACCAGGTCAGAAAAACAGTGAGGGTTTGGCGGTGTCTTTTGACTGTGGTCACAGCTAGGACTCCAGTCCATACACCCTGAACTCTCTGTCACCTTGCTCTCCAGGGAAAGCCCATGCTTTTAGCAGCTGTCTGTTCCCCAGATGGTGGAGGAGCTCTTGGGTGAAGGGCTGTGGCATCCTCTACCAACCCTGCGTGTAGCCAAAGCAAACTCCTATCTGCCTGCCACAGACTGGGGAAATAATCAGGATATTCCCTTGTGTCCCTTAGCCACAAAGACTAGGACTGGATGAGTTCCTCAGCTAGTAGGACCAAGTCTAATATCAGTGGCTCTTTGATATTTGCACCTTCCTAGCAACAAAAGAACAAGAACATGTTGCTTTCACCAAGTTTCCTTTCCTGGGATCTGAGGGGATGGGGAGGATGGTGAGGATCAAAGGTAGACCAGAGGCTGACCTGGTTTTGCACTGCAGCACATCACAGGACTCTCACGTTCTGTCCTGAGTCCACGGTGAAAGGGACTGGCAGTCCTGTCTCTCGGGCTGTCATGCACCACCTGGGCATTGACGCGTCTTCAGAGAGGCGTGAAGTGCAGCAGCCCAGAGGGATTGTTGTCATCATCCATGGGCCACCGCGGGCAGGTACGTCAGCTGCAGCCCAGGGCTACGGGGAGAGGGCGTGCAGGAACGCATCCTGGTGGGCCATGGTGCTTAAGGTAAAGTCCTCAGCTGAATAGGAGGTGGAGATGATCCTCTTGGCTCTAGAATTAAGAGCTTGTACCCACGCTCCAGCTGCCTCCCCCATGGCCTCCCCTGGAGGGACATTTGCTTTCCCACTGCCCTTTTAAATTTGAAATCTTGTTGGAGATTTTTCCAGGGCCTGTCCCTGCAATGCCTCCTGTGCCAGTGTCACCAAGCATTCCCCTCTCTCTCTCAGGAAAGACAGAGATAGCAGCAGGCCTGTGTCAGTACTATGATGCTGCTTACGTGTCCATTGACACCGTGGTGAAAGAGGCCATGGCCAACGATGGGAGCCCAGCAGGGCTCAGTGCCCGGGAGCTCTGCACCGACGCTGCCATGGAGCCAAAAGGCAAAGATAAAGGTAATGCTGGTAAGGAGAAATGCTGGACCCAGAGCTTGAGAAGCCCACCTTGAATGTCCACTTCTGCTTACTCAGAGCAGCAGTTTTGCAGTCCTCGGGTCTCTTAGGGAACATGGCTGAAGTGCATCTCTGGCTTGTCTAAAAAAAAAAATTCAATTTTAAGGGCTCAGTCAGAGGTTCTTTTATAGCCCCCTTTGCTGCCATTCTTGGCACATGGTTGTTTTTCTAGGGGTGGTGAAGCACACCTGTCTCTTTCCCAAGTATTTTATATTTCCTCAAAGCTGAATCGAGCTTGCTCCTCGTGGGCAGCAGTTCTGCCCTGCACTTTAACAAAGAAAAAATCTTCTGAAGTGGCTCATTAAGCCACAGGAAGACTGACTATGAGTGTAACCTTGCAAGTGAGAGGAAGGGAAGGACAGCCTCCCAGAGGAATTTCTAATGAGAGACGTGCTCCAGATGAGCTCTTCTCTCCAGAGATTTACCTATGGCCACTGTCAGGTTACACAGCTCGTTGGGCTGTTCTCCATGTGAGACTGGAGAGTTTCATGAAACTTCCTGGGCACTTGGTACCCTGAGCTCTGCAGGGTGAGGCCAAACCTGGCTCAGTGCAGGGGGAAGTTTTGCGCTGCTCAGTTTTGAACCTGGCTGGGTTGGGAGCTGGTGGAAGGAAGAAGAGCCCGGGTCCCAGCTGGGCTTTTTCCATAGGAGCATTTAGCTTCAGTGGAGACAGGTGATGCAAGTGGGGCAGGGCTGCAGGTCTCCACAGGAGAATGCTGGATGGGTGCAGTGTATGGGAACAATGCTCCTGGAGGACGAATCTTTGGCTTGACCACAGGGGAACTGCTGTGCAAGCAGTGTCACCTGCATGCTAAGTTGTTAGGAAGGACATAGTGCTGACTTTAAAATCAAGTATGGGATGGTGTGCTTTTTACCTGCTGGTAAGAAAAGCAGGGAAGGAGCTGCTTCCAGGAAACAGTGCTCCCAGTGCCCAGCAGACTGGGGAAAAAGTGCCATGTTCCTTCCCAGGGTTGTGCCCATTGCAGTGAAAGGTGCCCACTTGCTTTCAAAGCCCCTCTGAACCATCTGCTCCCTGTGCAGGTAAAAAGCCTCACCTCACTGCTCAGACTAAGAATAAACAAGCCCCTGGGGAAAAAATCAACAAGAAGGTTTCCAGAGGCAAGAACCCTCCAGCACAAAAGAAGGTGGAGCCAGCCAGCAAACCAAACATAAAGGACACCAAGGTAAACATGATCTACCCTGGTTGATGCCTGGGATTTTGCATTGTCTTTGAGATGAGCAGGGGCTGCTTACAGTGGAGGCTCTGTGCCAGCCAGGGCCTGGTATGTGGGTCCATAGTGCCACAACTTGGGCTGGGAATGTGCTCTGGCAGACAGCTCCTCTGCTTCTCAATGGTTTGCTGGCAAAGTGCAGTCCTGGCTAGTGTGGCTGCAGGCAGTGAACAAAGTGCTGGGAGGCTGCACTGGGGGCTTGCAGCCTTGGCTGTCTGCTGGCCAAGGGATGGGCCCTCCAGGACCATGCCCTGGAGCCCCCAGCCTGCACTGCAGGGCTGCTCTAGTTTCCACTAGGGAGGAACCCCAGCTCCAAGCCCAGCAGTGGGAGTTGTTCAGGGCTTTCCACCGTGGTTTCTTTTCCTTACAATGGTCCACATTGCAGTTCACAGTTTCCACTGCTCCTGCGCCGCAGCAGCTGAACATCATCAGCAGTTCTGGGGAAGAGCTGAACTGCTTGAGCTGTGTGCTGCCCGAGGACCTGCTGGTGGACATCCTCAGTGAGAGGCTGAAGGTGTGTGGGGTGGGGGAAAAGGAGACATTCCTGCTCCAGAGAGACAGCACTGGGGTACAACTCGGAGAGGAGGAGGAGGAGGAGGAGGTCTATACATGCAGTTGGGGGATACTGGACTGTGTGCAGGGAGCCCTGGGGGAAGCTGCAGCTGCCCTTATTGGCAGAGCCCACGGACAGATCCAAGCTGCTCTTAGCTACTGCACTTGGAACAAGGATTGCTGGTGACATCTGGGTTTATGGTGCAGCTGCGAGCCCCCTGTGTGCAATGGCTGACTTACTCTTCCCTTTATTCATAGTGTAAAGACTGCTACAAGGGAGTGGTCTTTGATGGCTTGGAGACCCTCTTTGCAAGCAGCCTGGAATCTTCTTTGCTCTGTGTACTCAGAGCTGTCAAGAATTGTCATCATATCTACATAGTGAACCTGAATCAGGATTATGCTTCTTGGAAAGCCAAGGAGGAAGCTAAAAGAAAGAGGAAGAAAGCTGGAAGAGAGAAGGAAGGTGAGATACCTCCTCTCAAATCTTGTCTCTCAAGCCCTCAGCCATATCTCTGTGTATCTGGATTTGCAGCAGAGCTTGTAAGAAATATTTTTATTAATCTTTTTACCTTCTGCCTCAGTGTAACCAGCACTCATCTCAGAGCTGCAGGAGATCTGAGGTTTAAAGACTCACCTTAATCTCTAACATTAAATCTTGGGCACAAGTGCCAGCTGCTGTAGCTCAGTGACAAATGACTGTCCTCAGCCTTGGTGCACTTAAGCCAGGCAAAGCCCAAGAACCACACTGCCCGGCCATAGTTTGGGGGATTGTCTGAATTTTGGAGCAGGGATATGAGCTCCCCAATATCTCCTGGTATGATAGGCTGGGTCAGGAAAGGCTGTGAATCCTTGCAGCTGACACAGAGCATCCAGCTGTGCTCGCAGTCACTCATGGTTTCTCCTCTGGTTTAAAGAACTGCGGCAGAAAAAAGCTATTAAGGGGAACAGAGAACATGTCTTGCAAATGGATGAGGACGAGTATGACACCCTCACTGAGGAGAAGAAAGCAGAAGTGGATAAAATAATACTGGAAATGAAGACTATACAGACGGAGGGGTGAGTAAGCCGTCCATGGGTTACTGCTCAGGGTCCCTAGAGGGTTTCCCTGCTCCAAGGACTCTGAGCTCAGAGGTATTTGATAGCAAAGGCCAGAAGCAACACAAGGATGGCCACTCTCTTAGCTCCCCAGCTCCCAAGAGAGGAAGCACCTCCTTCTGTTGAGATAGAACATCATCTTCTCTATTTTAGTGGTGAGCCCTCCCAGCTTAGATGCTGCCTGCAGGGAGCTGGGCTCTGGGCTTGCCTTGGCACTGCCTGTAGAAGTCTCTTCAAGTCCACGATGTTGATTTGTGCCTTCTTTATCATCTCCCTTCTTCACCAAAACAGTGGGATTGTGCTATGGGCAGGTGTGGGGCACAGACAAACCCTTGGTTTGGGTCCTGGTCCTGCCACAGATGAAGTCCTTGCAATGCTGAGCTGCCAAGGTTCTCCTTATGGTGGGACACCACCCATAAAAGCTCATGTCCTTTAGGCTCCCCTTCCACTGCAGCAGTAGGCAAGCTCTGCTCCAGCAAGGCAGCCCAGCTCAGGACTCACAGGAAAATTGTGGCGCTGGGAGTGGAGGCTGCTTGAAGCAAGCCTGTGTATCAGGACTCCTTTCAGCCCAGGCTGAAGTTGGTTTCATGGGGAGGTGACAGACAAAGCTGCTTCAAACCGTTTGCATGGCAGATAGCACTGGTTTGCTTGGTCACAGCTGGCTCCAGCAGGAAATCTGGCTGACAAGAGCCTGTCTTGCAGGAGAGGAGTTCCTGCAGCCTTTGCTTTCTGACTGATAGGATTATTCGCATTAAGGAGCAGGCTATGCCCAGGGAGAAGGGGGCTGAATGAGCGGAGGAAGAATTGTAGGAGGGATAAGCAGATGTTAGAAATCTGTGTTCTGCTTTAAACTGGGAAATCAAGAGACAAAGAGCGTTTTCAGGCATCAGCACAGAGAGCTGGTGGATCAGCCTTTGGCAGTGGGCTGGAGGTTTCTGGGTGTGCCTTAAAAGGGAGGTTGCAGTTGAGACTACAATGGCAAGGCGTAGGTTTGGCTGGTCCTGGAGGTCCTCTTCCACCATGGCACTCACTTGGGATGTTCCCAACCTCTGTGGGTTGAGGAAAATCCACAGAAATGGTCTCATGATTCTGCCTGGCCTCGGGGTCAAGGAATGAATTGCAGGGCCAGCCAGGACTAGTGAGCCCAAGTTTCTGGTGGTGACTCTCAGAGATGTTTTCTGTTTTGTTTGCTGAAGGGAGGTGAAGGAGCTGGCTCAAAAGCTTGAGGAGGAGGCAAAAGACTTAGGGGAGGAAGAGAGGCAGAAGGAGGAAGAGAAGCAGAAGGAAAATAAGGGTGTCTCCGTGGGGAAGCAGCCTGAAAAACCACAGAAGGAAGCCAAACCTCCAGAGAAGAAGGAAACCAAAGCCCCAGAGAAGAAGGAAACAAAAATCCCAGAGAAGAAGGAAACAAAAATCCTAGAGAAAAAGGAAACCAAAATCCCAGAGAGGAAAGAGACCAAAATCCCAGAGAGGAAGGAGACCAAAATCCCAGAGAGGAAGGAGACCAAAATCCCAGAGAGGAAGGAGACCAAAATCCCAGAGAGGAAGGAAAGCAAAATCCCAGAGAGGAAGGAAACCACAGCCCCAGAAAAGAAGGAAACAAAAATCCCAGAGAAAAAGGAAACCAAATCCCCAGAGAAGGGAGCCCCCAAAGCCCCAGAAAAGGGGGACTCCAAAGCTCCACAGAAGAGGGGAACCAAAGTCCCACAGAAGAGGGAAACAAAAGCCCTGAAGAAGGAAACCAAAGCCCCAAAGAAGGGGGAAGCTAAAATCCCAGAGGACCCAGCTGAGGTGGAGAAGAACTTGATCCTGAGGTTTCAGATCTACGAGTCATCACAGCAGAACATCACAGAGGTTTTCTCCTCCTGGGACAGAGTCCAGGGTACTATGCAGTTACCTGTGATCCAAAAGGGAAATAAGTCCCAGCCTTCAGGTGAAAACAAAGGTCTCAAGAAGACCAGTAAGCCTCAGGAGAAGGTGAAGAAGCCTGAACGTGAATGTGTAGGCCAAAGGAGTCTTCAGTCATCTCAGCTGGGGATGCAAAGTGAAGCTGCAGAAGGGGCAGTCAGAGACAAGCATGTTGGGGTGCCGTGCCTGGACATCCAGGTCTCAGATCCCAAGGCCATGATCAGGGAGATCCTGAGGGATGGGAAGCTGCCAACGGAAGACCAGGTAAAACCCTGCAAGGCTGAGATCTTGAGCGTGCCGTGGTCGTGGGCCCTGGAGCATTGTGTCCCCCCAGGTGATAATGGCACAGAGCCTTGTCCAGGCCCCTGATGATGTTCCACAATGGCTCTGTACCATCTGTGTGGATGGGGAGGTTATCACCATCCCTCAGATGGACAGGAAGTATGAGTGCTTTGTGTACAAGTATCCCATCCGTTCAGAGTTTCCCAGCCCAGAAATCATTATAAACAGTCCCAGGACAGGGCAGCTCATAGTCATTGTTCTCTTCAGCTGAGTCACTTGGGAGAGCTTTCTCTCCTGGTCCCGCTTGTAGCTCTTGATTCTGCTCTGGAGCTTACTCACCCCACTGGGCATAACAAAGCACTTATACTTCATATAAGTCAAAAAACCCATTGATAAAAGCTCAGTGCCTTTGAAGAAGGAGTTGTGAGGAGGAAGGTGACAAGTATAAGCAGGATTTTCTCTTCTGATTTAGATGCTGAAATATCTGGGACTGCATCCCGACGGCCCTCCCCTTGCCCCTGCTGCTGTGCTCTCCATAGTCGAGTACCCAGAGGAGCGGCTGGGCCCTGCAGAGCGTGTGGAGCCCTTCACCATTGTGGCACCACAAGGTGCTGCTATGGAAGACAATCTGGTGGGTGCTCCAGTGGTGCCAGGGCAGGGACCAGGCTGGATGGGGGCATGGGGGACAGGTTATATGGAAAGAGCATTATGGAGAGGTAGTGAAGATGTGATGGGGCCTCGTGTCTGCAGGTCTCCTTTCTGTCAGGGATGGGACAAAAGAGACAGCTCTGTGGAGACAGAGCAGTTCTGTAAGACAAGAGGTAAAAAATCACTTAAAACCATCAACTTCCTTTGAGGAGAGTCCTGAGTGAGAAGGAGTGTCCTAGGCAAAACAAACACCAATAAGGAAGACCAAGTCCATGGGCAGGGGGACTTACTTATTTATTCTCTCTTCTGTTGGTGAACAAACCCCCATTTTGCTTTCCAGGTTGGGGATGTCTCAGGGCTCACTTCTCCCTCCCTTTTCTCTCTCCCCTTAGGCCAAGGCCCCAAATGTGAAGGGCAGTTCTGCTGAGGGCCAACCAAAGACAGGTAAAGCAGCTGGCAGAGACAGCTCTCTAAAGGAGAAGCAGAGAACAGAAGGTCCCCAGGATTCCTCTGCAACAAGATCCAAAAGTATCCTGGAAAGTGCCTCAAACCCCACAGAATTCCTCAGGTGAGCCACACAGGAGGAGGTGATGCCTCTGCTTCTTTGGTCCTCTTGCCAAACAAGGCCCATCATCCCCAGCTCCACAGTGACCCTGTGCCAGTGCCTCCAGGGGATGGCGAGTGCACCCTCCTCGTTTGGTTTGCTCCTCAGCGATGTCTGAAGGCTCCTCTTTAATTGCCAGGCTGAAACGGTACCGGTGGGTAGTGCCTGCCCATGGTGAGGTGAAACTGAAGGTCCACTTCTCCACCAAAAGGCCAGGGAAGTTTGAGCAGACACTGAGGTTTGAGCTCGTGCAGACAAAGCGCCTGTACGAGCTGCCCTGCTGTGGCACCGGCCTGTACCCCAGCATCAGCCAGGACCCACGGTAAGGCTGGCCCCTGGCAGCCCCCACACCACTGCTGCCCCTGAACCACAGCCAGGGCTGACCCCTGGGGCTTCTGCCTGGGCAGATCGTGCTGCCTGAGGTCACCCAGCACCTCCTCCTGTGCTGGAGCTGGCAAGGCAGATGCCCTCAGCCTCCAGGAGGGGTTTTGGCTTTCTGACTACATTTCCTACTTGGAGCATCTCATAGCTCCTCCTTCCCCACTTTCTCTGCCCAGGCTGGTGTTTCCACAGTGGAGGGAGACCATGGAGGCAGATGACATCATCTTCAAGGAATATGTTGAGAGCACAAAGCAATTCCATTTTGGACCACTGCTGTGTGGGAAATCAAGAGACTGGTACGTGCTCCCTGCTGGGCTTTGCACTTTTGTGGACACACCTGGGAAGAACAGGCTGTCCTGGTGGCACAATCCAGGGCAGTCCCCAGCACAGTCCTGGGAGACACATGGGTTTGAAGGACCACAGATGTGTGAACTTGAGCAGATAAGAGGCAAATGAGCCTTGGAGGAGCTGCTCTGCCTGCCCAGTGGGTGCCTTGGTGGCCAGAGCCACATGCTGCTGCCAGTCCAAAAGTGATTTGGGGGCAGCTTCTGTCCCCCTCCACATCTCAGCTTCACCCCTTAGGAAATGAACTTTATGGTGATTTTTGAAATGCTTTGAGCTCCGCAAGTAGCCTGATCAAGCAATTATTCTGTAGATGGTTTTGTAAAGCTTTTATTAATCTGTAATTATTAATAAGATTTTATGGTTGACCTGCCAATGGGTATCGGGAGGAACGTACAGCAGCAATTACATTTGCCTGTAATAACGTTGCATCCTCACTGCTGGATAAAGTCTGCCTAAACATACTGTCATTGAAGCTATTGTGTATTTCTACTTTTACTGTCACTTGTTTTTTTAAAAAATATTTAAGGTCTTGTCTCCATAGGAACTCTGGAGGGCTAAGTCTATTTTGACAACCCAAGGAAATGAAATCAAAATAGTTTAAAAAAGCAGACAATCATTAGCCAGATTGATGGATGGTCTGGGATTTGTGTTTGCCTCTTTTACCCTTTCACTCTAAAGTCATTTCCACACCTGAGAGAAGGGTCATTTGTTATCTTTTTGCATTTCTCTTGAAAAATGATGCTTTATATTTCTTTCTCAGACTTTGAGCTAACCCATGAAATTCAAACCAGTTTCATGACTTTGATGAAAAAGATTAGCTAAACTCTTTTTCCAAAAGCCTTTCTTTATACCCTGCAGGGAAGGCACCCCAAGAAAGAAGGGGAAAGACCCCATGTGCCTGGTGTATTGTTATTTTTCTGGGCACCTTTGAATTTGCATTGTATCAAAAACTCTCAAAGTGGCCTGAGCATCATCAGGCTTCTGGGCTGGAGGCACCAAGTCCGGGGGAAGGCATCAGAGTAAGGCAAGGATGAGCACACGCCCATGCCCCTGACTGGGATCCATTTCCCTCACTTGTTTGTTAGAGTAGGGTCTTCCAGCACTGCTTCCTCACGTGCACATGGTGCTCTCCTCTGTGTGTGGCAAAGGCAGCAGTCTGCTCTGCAGCCTTTTCCCCTTTTGTGGACAGGTACAAGTGCCAGAACTGTCCCAGAAACTCGGAGAATATAACCATCCTCAACAACTCCCCCATGGACGTAGAAATCCAGTTCTCCTTTGAGAATGCTGGGGAAGCAGCGACGTTCCTCTTGGACCCTCCCAGGATGGCACTGAAACCAAAGAAGAAGCAGGTAGGAGAAGGGCAGGCAGAGCAGGCACCGTAGAAGTGCCCAGGGGCTGCTCCTCCTGCTCACACACAGAGCTCTTTCTATTTCTTCCTGTGGGGCCGTGTCCAGAAGCTGACCATTTGGGCATACCCCACTTCCCCTGGCTTCCTGCAAGACAAACTCATCTGCAGCGTTGGGAAGAACCCGGAGCCAGTGGTCTTCAGCCTGTGCTGCCTTGGGGTGCACATGAAGCTGGAGCTCAGCCCCCTGGAGCTGTCTTTTGACAAGCTGCTTCTGCACAGGTCAGTCATCCCACAAGCACTCCAAGTCTTGTGACAAAGAGAAAACGTTTGACTCTGGTTTCCAGGGCATGGATGGAGCTGCTCCAAGTTGCATTCAGTGGCCAGGCTGGTGTGGCCATCCAGCAGCTGATGCCAAGTGCCTTCCTGTCTCTGCAGGACTGACAGCAGGACCTTGGTCCTGAAAAACAACGCCCTGCTGCCCATGGCCTGGCAGCTCAGTGGGCTGGATGACCTTGCTGAGGACTTCTCCTTGTCACAAGATAACGGCGCCATTGATCCCCGCTCAGAGTTGGAAGTGACAGTGCATTTCAAGGCCAGGCAGGCTGGCAGCATTGAGAAGAGCCTCCGATTAGAGGTGAGAGGGGCTGTGCCCTGCCTGGCAGAGCAGGGCACAGTGAGCAGCTGTGTGCTGCTAGGGACAGGGGCAGGAAGAGCTGCACCTGACAGACACAAGGGTGCTGTGACCCCAACTTCTGCCTCTGCACAGCGTTTGCCAGAATGTGCAGTGCATCAACATCCCCCCAGATAACCAGACACTGCATCCTGAGCCTGTACCACAACCACCTTGTCCCTGTGAGTGGTTGAAGGTTGTTGTGTGGTTGTACAGACTGCAGCGTGATCTCTACATTCCTCCCGGACATTGTCTGAAGCTCTTGCATAGTGCAACAAACTCTCCCCCTGGGATTTCGTTCCCCATGGATTAGGGGCTGCATTTCAGAGAGGGTGCTAGGTGATTGAGAGGGTTGTCAATGCCACCTGCTCTGAGACACCTCACACTTCTTGTGGTTGTTCTTACATCCCTGTGCCTCTCAAGGATGCTTTAGGAGCAATATTCCCTGCTGTGGGAGTGCAGAGTTGGGCTGATAGGGTTTTTTACTGCAGCAGAATCCCACTGGGGCAGCCCATGAGATAAACAGTTAGCAAAGCTTGGGAGTCCTCCAACGCTTGTGAAGCCAGGGAGGCCATAGGGGAAGCAGCCAGCAGAGACAAGGACTGTCAGGCTGTCTACCAAAAGAATAATCTGAATAGTGTCTGTTTCTTGCTGTCTCAGGTTTCAGATACAGAAAACATCCTGGGGGTTGTTCAGACTGAAAACATCAAAATCTCTGCAGAAGTCTATGACATTCCTCTGAGCATCGACATGCCTGAAGGTCAGTGGATGCCTCCCAAACAAAGCAGTCCAGGTGCACTGCATTACCTTGGGAGGTGGGCAACCAAAGCACATGGGATGGGATGGGATGGGATGGGATGGGATGGGATGGGATGGGATGGGATGGGATGGGATGGGATGGGATGGGATGGGATGGGATGGGATGGGATGGGATGGGATGGGATGGGATGGGATGGGATGGGATGGGATGGGATGGGATGGGATGGGATGGGATGGGATGGGATGGGATGCAAGGATGGGATGGGATGGGATGCAAGGATGGGATGCAAGGATGGGATGCAAGGATGGGATGCAAGGATGGCATGGGATGCAAGGATGGCATGGATACATAAAGCACGTACCCTGCCAGGTGCATGGAATAAAGCATTGTCAGTGCACTGATAGCCTTAAGTCTCTCCCCTCTGAACTTTGAAGTGTGCAGCTTCATGTGCAGATTGGATTTTAGGGCTTTGAAAAATCAGTGACATGAACAGGCAGTTGCAACTCCCACAGGCTCAGCACAGCATATAAAGCAATTGGATTTGTGCTTGGAAGCGAGGAAATGGGAGCCGAGCTCCTTAGCTACTAAGCTTGCAGACATTTTGAGTGGGAAGAGAAAGGGTAGACAAGTAGCTGGAAAACACTTCCAAGAATGGAAACTTGCTGAAAAGGGTTTTGTGCCAAGACCTCCATGTAGTTTGTAACCTGGTATATTCTGCAACCGTGTTTGACCTTGCTCTGTGGGTTTTCTGCAGGTCCAGATGGAAGCTTGGAATTTGGAACCATTAATGTCCTGGATAATGTGAAGAAAGTCCTGAGTCTGAAGAGCAAAGGGGTATACAACATTGAGTACAGGTGAGTCCAGCTGCCTGGTAGTGAGCATTTCCTCAGGTTCCCAGGCCTGTGTTCTCCCTCTGTCAATGGCTAGAACCTGTTTCCATGCTGGCTACCTCATGGTAAATACAAAACCTTGGCTCTCTGATCTCAACTATTCTACCAGATAATCCAGCCACAAACCAGCAGTTCTTCACAGCTCAGCTGGAGCTCAAAGGAGAGCCCCAGAAATTTCAGCCACTGAAATGCTGAGATTCATTGCCTTTCTTTGATGGTCACCTCCTTTCTCTTTCTGAGACTCTGTAAAGGAGTGAATGAAAAAATTTGTCTTAAGGTTTCTTGCAGTAACCTCGTGACTGACTGCACTCTCTGTCAAGATCCAGGATTCCCTGAGCAGAGCTGGACTCTCCCTTTTCTTTTTTTCTGGTCCAATGCAAAGTCCTGGCTGTGCTGGTGGCACCTATATTTTTAACTGCAGAGATCTCCATTCCTTCCCTTTCTCCCCAGTTTCATGCTGAAGGGTGCAGGTCCCAGGATGCAAGACTTGGCATCCCACTTCACTGTTGAGCCTCAGTCAGGCATGCTGACTGCCTGGCAGTCTGGTGTGAATATTGAGATGCTCTTCCACCCCACAAGTGAAATTGTCCTCAAGAACAAGCCCATCCTGTACTGCCAGGTGAGCTGGCTGGGGCAGGCTGTATTATCACTCGGTGTTCTGGGAGCATAAACAGGATATGTGTCTAATGGAAGGAGGGCTTTACTGGAGAATCCTCTCTCCTCCATACACAAACAAAGTCTTTCAAAGCCATTTGGGAGACTTCCTAAGTGGAGCTGAGCATCTGACTCTGGAGGAGGTTCTTAAACAGGGAGGGGTAAATGGATGGAGGTGGAGGCTGGGGACAGGGGTAGAGGCTGGCCCCTTTGCTTTGGTTACCTCCCTTCCTGTGGACACAGGTGACAGATGGCAGCTCAAGGGAAGGAGGCCAGGCTGTCGCCAACATCCCAGTGAAGGTGTCAGCAAGAGCCGAGTACAGCAAGTACAGCATTGAGCCTGCCTCACCCACCGACTTCGGTACCATGATCAAGGGCACCAGGAAGACCCGGACTCTTGTGATGAAGAACAAAGGCATGGTCAACTTCAAATTCCACATCCGCCAAGCAGCCGAGGGTGCAGCTGCATTGGAAAGCAAAAGGTATGAGAAGCCCTACACCACCCTTCCTGTGAGGAGGCACCACCCCACAGCTGGTATGTGGCAGGCAGCCACAGCTATCATCCATTTGCATCCCTGGCTAGGGGAGAGAACAAACAAATGTCTCAGTATCCCCATGTGTAGTACAAAGCTGGTGATAAAGCTGCTCTGTCCAGCAATGGGTGCTGCAGGCTGCTCTCTGGGAGCCATCAGGAGCAGGAAGGCTCTGTGAGGAGGAAGGCCAGCTTTGGCCTCAGAGAAAGGCAGGGGAGCTCAGCATGACAGCTATCATTGCTTTCTCCCCTCAGTTCAAAGCAAGGGGAATCTGCTCCATCAGCTACAGAGCTCTCAACAGGAAGGAAATCAAGCTCCTCAACACAGGTGAGTGACTCCTGCTCCCCAGTAGTGCTGCTGCAAGGGATGTGAGAAGATGCTGCTGTGCCCAGGCCTGGGGGCTCATCGCCACAGGGTGGGACGTGGTCTGCAGGATGGAGTCCAGTATCTGTTCAGTCCCACTGAACGTTCTGTACTCTGGCTCTGACCTGGAGTTGTAGGGTCAACAGAGGGGGGAGCAGGTCCTGTGTTTGGTAGCTGCGAGCCAGCATAGGTCTGTGAACACCACAGAAGCAAAAACATCCCCCACTGAACTCCCAGTCCACAGAGCTCAAACAACATTGCTTTTTCTTCTTCACAGTCTCTACCTCTCTCCCATCATTTCTCACAGATATTTCTGCACTCCTGTGTTACCTCTGGAGACTGAAGGATCACAGCTATCACCTTCATTCTTTACACTCAGACTCCTTTCTGTCTGCCACTTGGGACAGGCTTGCAGCTCCTCTTGCCTTGTTGCTCTCAGCCTGGAGCTGCCTTTGGGCCGTGGAGTCATCCTTCCCTGCCCTGGGACTGGGTGCTTGGGCCCAGCTGGAGGCCAAGGCAGGACATACTCCTTGCTGGGGTGCTGAAGGCACAGCTATTAGCCATCAGCCTCTCCTGGAACTTTTTCTGCAGGGTCACCTCAATCTTGGCATGTTCAGGGTGTCCCCCTGCTCCGGCTCCATCCGTCCGTGGGGACAGCAGCTGATCACAGTGGAATGCCTCGCCAGGCAGGAGGGGACATATGAGGAGCAGCTCTACTTTGACATCACGGGCAGAGACCCCAAGGACAATCCCCTTGGCATTCCGTTTACCCTGATGGCCGAGTCCTACCTCCCAGGTACCTTCTGCCCACAGTCACACCTGCTGCTGATCAGCACCTAAACTTGCTGCTTGGATAGAGAGACACGCTAGCCCTGGTGTCCCACCTTAAAATCCTCAGAGGTTCCAGCCCTCTTCAAGTCCACCAGTGGACTCATCCCTTCCAGGCTGAGAGGGATGCATGGAAGGATAAAAGGAAAGCAATGCTCTCTAAGACTGAGGTTGACTGAGCTCCATCCTCACAGCCAGCTCCCCCACCCAAGGCTGGGTTTAGCAGTCACCCAGGCAGAAAGGGCTTAGCAAGGCTTCTGAGAGGCCAGCAGGGTCCAGATAAACTCATCAGGGAGGCTTCTCCATGCTCACCCCTCTGGTCTGTCCACAGCACTTGAAGATATCAGGTTAATCTACAAGGACTACCCGATCTGCAGCAGCACCAACCTCTGCCACAAGCTGCAGTCAGTGAAAAGCACAGGCCTTTTCATCAGAGATGAGAACAAATTAATCTTCCACAAGGTTCTGGTTGGGCAAGAGGCTGAAGCTCATTTCAATATCTACAATGCAAGCCGTCTGCCATGTGATGTGGTCCTCTCCATCAAAACCCTGCCTGGAGAGGTAAGAACAGAGGCCAAGGTGGTGGTTGTCCTCCAAAGGCCGTGTTTTGTTCTCCAGATGCATTGCTTCCTGTGGCCCAGACTAGGCTAGCTCAGTGCAGCTCAAACTGCAGGGGAGAGCAGCAGAGCCAGGGAACAGTTGCGTGGAATTCTGCCTGTCTTGGGCAAGGTTTTGGCTCACACCTCTGGGTCTTCAGTGAGAGAAGTGAATCCTTCTAAACCTCTCTTGGAGGCACACTCGGAGAGGGGCTGTCATGAACTGACATGTCAGGGCTCAAAGCAGAGCATTTTCTCAGTTCTGAATTGACATGCCAGGGCTCAAAGTAGAACATTTTCTCAGGCTCCCTGGCTTTTCCTTCTCTTTGAAGGCCAGTTCTAGATTATTTGCAGGATCTTCCATGCAGTGCCCACCTCCCATATAGGCTGGGGCAGCTGCCAGCGCTCAAAACACACAATACTTTAGCACAAGGTCAGAATCCCCTGGAGGTGGGGGGGGAGGGAGCCTGTCCAGGGAAGCAGGAAGGAAGACACTGTCTGCGGCTGTTCTCAGTAATGCATTTATGAATAAAACTGTGTCATGATGAAAGGTGTTTTCTCCTAACACTGCTCTCTGGGTTCCCCCAAGGAAAAAAGCCCGATCAAAAGCATTTTCAAGTTGGATCCAGTCAAGATGTCCATTGCTGTCTCATCCTATGCTCTTGTGAAGGTGACCTTCACCCCACCAGACGAGCAGAACTATGACTGCATTGTCAAGGCTTCCCTCATCATCCCAAAATGGTAACTAACACTGTGAAATACTGGGGGAGGCCTCACTGATAGCTGCCTCTCCCCTGGGAAGGCACAGACCTCTTGTTAGCTCTAATGCTACCAGTAGCCTTAGGCAGAGTTCTTGGCATGAGATGATCTGGGAGTAACTCTTAGAGCAGAAAAATGAGGCTGATGATTTGTTCTCTATGAGAAACTATGAAGACGGGGAAATACTAGGTAGCGAATTGGAAGCTACTGAGATGTGCTGCAGCTGAGCTGGCCGTTTCCAAGTACAAAGGCTTAGATGAAGCAGTTTCTTTGCCAGCAGGCCAGCAGGCACATTTTGCTCTTTGTTTCTGTAAAATTAAGTGATCCTCTGTGATTCCCTGGCATTCATTAAGTGCCGCCGTCTGCCTTGTGTGGAGGAGAGGCGGCGTCCGAGGAGATAGCGAGGGAGCTGACTCAAGGCTGGGAAAACAGTTTCAGGTTTAATCCAGGCTCCGGGGAGCCTGGAGCCACAGAGAATCCAGCAGCCAAAAGCGCCCTCGAGGCTTTTGCAAGGTGTTAAATATCGGGGCGGTAACAGGGGGAAGGGAACGCCCATTGACCGATGCGGGGATTTGGGGCAATGGAAGGTGAAAGGATAGACAGACACAAAAACCAACGGAGGAAACTTAAGGGAGGGACCCCGGGCCCTCCTCCAATCCCTCGAGGCCCAGGGTAGAAGATCGGGAAGAAGGGGCTGGGGAGCCGAGTGACGGGCCAGATAGCAGGGAGGGGGGAAGTGCCCGAGCGTTGTGAGGGAGATCGGCACTGAGGGAGCGGCGGGAAAACTCGGGGTGGAACCACTGGGAGAAAATGGCGGGTGGAGGGGCGAACCATTGCAGAACTGTTACAGAAATATAAAAACACAATACAACAATTAAGCTATTTTATGTCAGTGATTGGACCTGATATGACAGAGGAACCTAGTTCCTCTGCCCTAGGACCTGTGTACTGGGGCTTTAACTTGCCCTTCCTCAACCCTTTAGTGGCTGAGTTGGAGCAAGAGAAGTCTAATTGCTAATAACCAATTGCTTTTTTACTGTTCTTGGAAATTATCTTTACTGAGGGTGATTGATGATTTATTTTTGCCTTCTTGCTTTTGTACTGCTTTCATGCTGTGCTTTTGCTTGTTGCATAAGTCTCATCTCACTGCAGCCAGGCGATTTGCCATATCTCATCTTATGCCTCATTATTTACCTGCTGTACTGCTTGATTCAATTAAGTGGAATTATTTTTAACTGTTATTGTGGAAGGCTCTTTGGAGCAGATTCCTCTTGTGAATGGCCCCGAGGGGATTGAGAAGAGGCTGGTGGGGGGGCTGTGTTGTGGGGTACAGGAGCACCAAGCAGGGAAAACACTGTGGGTGGCCCTTGCTGCTTAACTTGCCCAGTGAGAAATGGGTTAGTGCCAGCTGAAATTGTTTCTGTGCCTCTCCAGCAGCTCTGTGGGAATTAAACCCAAAATCCTGACCTTCACCATCAGTGGGAAGGGGCACGAGCCGCAGCTGACAGTCGTGTGCCCAAGTGCTCGCAGCAAGAGGGGCAATGCCGTGCTGCGCTTCAAGAGGCTCCAGGTGGGGGATTCAGAGACGCTGCCCCTGGTCGTCCGTAACAATGGCATCACACCTCTGGAGGTGAGGAGGACCTGCTCAAGGAATGGTCTGGTTTGGGAACAAGTGCTTGTGGCACAGGGGAAGGGTCCCAAAAAACATGGCAGACCTGGGAAGAGGTGTCAGAAATTCTTTTTAAGCAAGTGACCGACATCTGTTCTCCAAGAACGGAGTTCTTGGAAATTTTCCATCCAGTCTTTCTTCTTTAAGTTGAACACAAGAAAAGTGGTGGAGTGTTTTCCCCCGTCTCTCAGGTCACCGTCTGTTCTCATGGACATGTGTGATTTCCCACTTCCATTAGATTGTATTTGATCCTAGTTTACTACATTTTAAGTAAACTTAGTTGTGGTTTAATTACATTCTGCCCATTCCTTTCTGTCCTGTTTGGTTCTGTGTCAGTCCTATCCAGATGCCTCTGAACACCCTTTTTTCCTGGCTGGTTTGACTTAACTTTTGTGCTAAGTGCTGTTTGTAGTGGGAGAGGTGCTGGGCTCTCATGCAGGACCAGCAGCACTGTGGTGTCAGTCTCCCTGTGCCATCCTGTACTCACACCAGTATCATTGTGCTCTGGGTTCCCTTTTCTCAGTTTATGTTATGCCTGGAGGATAAGCATGGAGTGTTCTTCTTGAGAAGGAGGGCCTCCACACTCAGGATATTCCGCACTGGAGATGTGGGAGAGGACTCCGCTGGAAACGGTAAATCCATTAACCATGAAGTGTGATCATGCAAAGAGGGAAAACCTGTGTCCTGCTCTTGGCTTCTCCGAGCAGCAGCCAGATGTTAGGCACAGTTTCTTTTCTTGGGCTCTGTCTCCCAAGCATTTCTTGGGGACTTTTTGCAGGGTCTCCTCCTAGCAAGTTTTAGGAAGTTCTTCTGTTCTTCTAGACATGGTGGGTTGAGCTGTGGGGGACTGTCACTACCTCAGTGGACCCTCTGAGGTATTTGCTACGTGTGGGAGGTACCAGCCTGAACACACAGCCCTTGAGCACAGAGACAGCCAGCAGAAGCCAAAAGCACTCTTTGGCTCAGCTTTGCATATGGCTGGAACTGGCTGGGAGAAAATGGAAGGAGGGCTGGGCATCAGCCTGAGGTTAAGCTGCTTAAGTGGTGCTGTGTCTGGAGATGGCAGTTTGTGAACAGAGGAAGAGGTTCTGGGACCACCGGGGGTAGAACCTGTGCTTAGAAGGCAGCTGGCTTCAACCTCTTATTCCTCATCTATCCTGTGGAAATATTTCTTCTGTGCAGCTGTATCACTTAATCTGATTTCCATTGCTGTGCAGAGAGCAAGCCCCCAAAGAAGCTTTTCTTCCTTCTGAGTTGTGGGCAATCAACAAAGTTTGATGTCATTTTCAAACCCACCCTGGCTCAACGTCTGGAAGAGAAGATTTGTCTGATAGTGGGGGACATCTGCATGACCCAAATAGAGCTGGTGGGTGAAGGCCACAAGGATGAATTCACCCTCAGTGGATTAGAGGAAGACATCCAGGAGAGGAATGCTGAGAGCAGTCTGAAGAAAGACATCATTGATGGTAAGAGAGGACAGGCTGCCAAGGTGTAGCAAGGAAGAGGAAAATGTCTGATCATGTGTGTCCTCCCTCTAGCCAGGCCTGGGCTGTCACCCACGGGGCTTGGTGGCCTGTGGGCATGGCAGCCATGCATGCAGAGCAGTGTGTGCTGTGCTGCATGTCCCTGGCTTAGGGATGTGTCAGGGTGTTTCCCTGGAAGTGGTGGGATGGGGAACTGACTGGGGCACTCCCTCCAGAGGGAGGAAGGCTTGGAGCAAGGAAGCATTGAACATGCAGGTGTCTGTGCACGTGAGGGGGGCAGGTGGAGCTCCCTGCATGCTGACATCCCTTGCTCTCCTTCTTAACAGCTGTCAGAGTGAACCACCTCCAGTTTGGGTACTGTCCTGTCGGGAAGCCCTGCCGCAGGACCTTCACCATCACCAACCACACCCGTATGAAGGTCATGCGCTTTGAGTGGGAGGCAGACGCCCCATTCCAGTTCTCCCCCAAGGTGAGCGTGGACTGCTCTGCCTTTCCCCATTGCTCAAGCCCTGCCCTGGTGTTCCCAGGAGCTGGCAGGGAGTCCTCACATACCAGTGATAGCCCGTTCCAGTGCCACGGAGGAGATGCAGCCCCTAGCTTGGCTGGGCCATGGCTGCCAGCCTTGCAGAAAAGGCTTCATGTTATGGGAGCTGGCACCTTCCTGTCATACTTTTGGATATCAAACTTCATGTAAATCCACTCTGAGGTGCAGATTCCTGGCATAGCTGTTCACCACATCAGTCCCTTTTGCTGTCAGTCCCGGCCTTCCGTCCGCAGGGGCTGGCCCAGTTCCAGTCCCTTCACCCCCTGGCC